TAGGTTGAAATGCCACACACCCCTCGATTCCAGCCATCTTAACTCTGTCTCAGCTTTAAGATACCTGAACAAGTCCAGGCTAGTCACGTTCAGCTGGGGGCTGGGGAGTGGGGTATGTCTTGGCATTGTGGTGGTGAGAACCACCGTTGAGCCCATTCAAGGTTAGGATGGGCAGTGCTGTCTCAAACCGCTGTTCCCACTGTTGTGTAGCTGGGTGAGGTCCCTGCGGCAGCAGGAATATGAATGACTAGACATCCATCTGCATATTTGAGATTGACATGTCAGTGCTGGCTAACCCACTCCCAATTTCTGCTTGTAGGATCAGATTCTAAGTACTGTGGCCTCACAGTATGTCAGGTAGAGTCTGAACATGTTTTCCCTCATTTTAGGGATGGACGTGTCTTGGGCGTGCTGGAGGTGTCCCGCTCCATTGGGGATGGGCAGTACAAGCGCTGTGGGGTCACATCTGTGCCTGATATCAGACGTTGCCAGCTGACCCCCAATGACAGGTAAAAAAATCACCTTACTAAAGGTACAGGTGTGCACATACATAGTTGTTTTTTTCCCTGACTTTCCAGTTTGTACCCAGCCTTTGCTAAGGGGCAGGGAAGGAGGTTGTCAACACTGTCTTAAGGCACTGTGATTGTCCTTGGGGGTGCAAAGATAAATAGAACATGGTTTCTGCTCTCATGGGGTCCATACCGGTCAGGGAACGCATGTAGGGATGGACACTTGCAGTTCAGTGTCACTGGAGTGTGGAAGCTTTGGCAGTGGGAGAGGGGGTACCAGTAATAGCAGCTAGGGACTTGGATGGTGGGGAAAAGATGGAAGAATGATGGCAAGGTTTTGGGGAAAAGATTATGCAGGGCCCTCAGTTCTGCTGAGGTGCTTGAATTTCCAGGTTTGTTTTGGTTTGGTTTGGGTTTTTTCCCCTCTCAGCAATACTGTGGTTTGAACTCAGAGTGTCATACTTGCTAGGCAGGTACTCTACCACTTGAGCCACACCAACCCTTCTGTGTGTTGTGTTTTTGAGATAGGGTCTTATGAACTATTTGCTTGAGCTGGCTTTGAACCATGATCCACTCTGCCTCCTGAGTAGCTAGGATTATGGGTGTGAGCCACCAGTGCCTAACTCCATTCATAATACATGGAGAACCACGAGAGGTTTTTAAGTAGAGCCAAGATATGTGGAAAAAGAAATCTGTTCAATAGGTGCCTCCCTTTTCCAGATGCCTAAAGACAAGGCACAAGTAATTGTTAAAGATGAAGTTACAGAGCTGCAAGCCACTGATGCAGTGACCCTGGTCCGATGGTGAGGGCTAAATTCAGCTAGTAGCAAGAGGGAGTGAGGTGAGTGCAGGAAAACAGGACTGAGCAGAAGAGCAAGCTGAGAGAGCATGGTGGTCACACTGCAGCTCAGTATCCCTGTGGGCATAGCTCCCAGTGCCAGCTGTGGAGAAAAAGTGCATGCCTTGCTTTGATGTTTGACTTCTCAAACCCTTCTCCCTACTCCATATCTGCCATCATGTGCCATGTTGTCCACCACCCTAGGATCTTGAGACATTTCCAGCAACCCTCTCCTCTGGTTTTCTAAATGATGCTCTATCTGCTCCAGACAAGGTCATAGCTGCTCTTACCACATTGTAGTCACAGGTCTGCATGGTTGATATTTTGGGTATGATTCTGGACACTTAAAGGAGTAAAAAGCATGCTTGCTTGGACTTTCCCCCCCTGTGTCTCAAGCACAGACCGTGTGTTTGGAAAATTGAGTGAATGCCCAGTTAGAAGAAAACAGAGATAGGCATTGTGATGAGGAAAGGAAGGTGGCTACCTTAAAACTGTGTCAGGAGAATGAGTGCTGCCATGCTGAGCCTACAATGTTCAGAGGCTTCTTCAGGCAGCCTCAGGGAGGGGTCCTAAAGGGAGAGTTCAAAGCAAAGTGAGAACCATCTCTTCTGGGGTCTTAGACTCTCAGGTGTGAAACAAGCTCCCAAGGGTGTTTCACTGGGGGGTGACTTCCTTCTCAGCTTTATGTCCTGGGAAATGGCTTGGGGCTTGTGGTAATGAAATCCAGGTGTGGCACACCTGGTGCCGTCAGGGCTTGTCCTTGTTTGTCTAAGCACAGCATCTAGTGTTGAGATGTCCATAGGTATATTTATGGGTAGGGAAAATGGTAGGACCACTTTTGATGTATGATATTCGACAACTATTTTTAAGTAGTTTTATATGTGGTTTCATACAAATTACTTTAAAAATTTCGTAGCCACTGAGTCATTGGACAAGTACTTATTTTATCTCCATTTCTAGGCCATTCTGTATTTATAACGCTTGCTGCTAAAACACATTCATGTTTCTTCTTTCCATAGATTCATTTTGCTGGCCTGTGATGGGCTCTTCAAGGTCTTTACCCCAGAAGAAGCCGTGAACTTTATCCTGTCCTGTCTGGAGGTGAGAATCTAAAGGGGCAGCCCTTGTGCTCTTTTTCAATGTTAGCTCTGCCCAGGGAACTCACTGGTCACTTTGTCCTGCCAGCCTCAATGGGGACGACACATTTCTCCCCCAGCTACAGTGTCAGGAAAATGACAGGGGCCGACGACTTATTCACTCAGGCCCCTCTCCCCTGTGGTAGGATGAAAAGATCCAGACCCGGGAAGGGAAGCCTGCCCTCGATGCCCGCTATGAAGCTGCGTGCAACAGGCTGGCCAGCAAGGCGGTGCAGCGGGGCTCTGCAGACAACGTCACGGTGATGGTGGTGCAGATAGGGCACTGAGGCACTGCAGGCGTGGTGCTGACTCACAGGGATATTGGTGTGTGCACTCTGTGTTTTGTGTACTCCTGTGGGACTCCCATGGTTGTAAATAAAGGTTTCTTTTTTTCCTAGTTGCTTGAGTTCCCTTATTTCACTGAGCAACTGGGCCCTTCAGGGAAGGGTGTTTATTGGCTTTGGAATGTGCTCTGGATCTTTCCTTTCAGAACCATTGTGGGCATCTTGGACTGACTACAAGTTATGTGACGTTCTGCAGCTGGCGGTGTCTTACTGGGCTGTTTTATCCTCCTAATCATCCCCTTGGAGAGAAAGGGCTTTGCAGTGAGAAGATTGAGGTGGTGACTGATTTAGACCAAGGCTAGGACCAGAACCATTCAGCTTTTCATACAGAAATAATGTTAAATCTTAATTGCAGGAGTCCAGGCTTGGCCAGGAACTAGGCCATGCACAAGACTGTTAAGTGTGCTTGCCCTGCAAGGCCTCCAGAAACAACTCAGTTCTGTTCGTTCCTGCTCCTCAGTGAGAGACTGCACCTGGTTGAAGGACTCTGGAACAATGGGCTTAACAGGTCTTGAGTCTTTGGACATCCAAACAGGCACTGCCACATTGAGTGGTCATGTCACCATCCATCATGGCCTCCAGTTCACTGTCATATCTTAGGACAGTGCAAGCAGTTGGCTCTGCTGGCCTGAGGTAGACCTGTGTGATCAAGTAACATCTGCACGAGATGTCTAATAACAGATAAAGACAGCGTATATCAGCCTACAGTGTAAATGCTTTTCAAGCACTTCTTTATATTTAAAATGTCATAACTAAGTTTTTTAGTTGAGCAGCTCTTGGGTCTTCTTGTGTAAATGTTTGGCTCAGGATGATGTAAGATGCAAAAACTGCCTTTCCTGAACCTGTTAAAGTTCACTCCCTACCCCACCCCCACCCTTATCACTGTCAGTCCAGATACCCTGAATGCTCATGCAAACTTTAGATGACTTTTGGGGTAAATAGAAAACAAATGAAGAGATGTTGGTGCTGCCCCTGCTCCAGGGAATGTTGGAAGCAAGGTGTGCTTCTGCTTGGTGATGAGGACACAGGACAGTGACACCAGGAAAGAAAAGAGCCTCAACTCAGTTAGGAACATGATTTATTTTGTAAATGTTTTCTTACAGCAAGCCAGAGGCCCAAAGGCTGACTCCTGTGGCCCTATGTGCCACTGCCCCTTCTGGGAGAAGCTGGGCACTGGCTTTCTCCTGTCAAGGCCTTCCCTGGCACCTCCAAAAAGAGCTCCCCTGCCCCAAACCTAGGGGCCTTCCAGAGTTTACTCTTCACTGTGCTATGGTGAGCCTGGCCTGAAAGATTAAGGTTCCGAATCTCAAGTCTGCCCTTTATTTTTATAGCTTTTTGCCATCACATAACATACATCAAAGTCAGATAAATACATTCTACCCGGTGACACACAATAAATACTGAAGTGACTTGCTGTGTAACACAAGTATTGAGAAAATGAGATATGTGCATATGCGGCTTTTTCATGGGTAAAAAGATAACTTCTCTAAAATATCTGTGCCCACTGATACTTTACAAAGTGAACACCCTTTATCAAAGAGTAGGGGAGCTGGGACCCAGGCCAGCCTGTGCTTCCTGGTAGGGTGGGTCTGAGCCCTACTGAGAATGTACAGAGTGGTTGTTTGCCTGGGTCACTGTTTGGATGACCTGGCTTGGGAAGAAGTTTGAGTTGAATGTGGACAGGAAGCTTGGATCATTCAGCCTGGCTGTGGTCACCATGTCCTGGGGCCAGCTGGAAGGCTACATTACTGTGGCCATTTTCCCCTTCTCTCCCAGACTTGAGCACCCATGCCAGGCCAGCTGGGCACCTGGGAGGTCCAGCAGCCCAAGGGGGTGGGGGTGTGGGGTTGAGGGGAGGTCAACAGCAGGCAGGCGGTGGGGCCCCAGGTCACTGCTGTGAGCCTTGTCCTCTTCACTGCCTACTCCAGGGCCAGTCCTGCACTTTGGGAAAAGTTGGGGTTCGGGGAGTGGGGTCTGCATTTTAGCAAGCGTAAATAAAATGAACGCATAATCAGCCTGCTCGAAGAACACTGCACCTCAGGGAACTGCTCTCCCCTCCCTTAGCACCATCGCCTTCACCACTAGTCTCACCCAGTAGGAAGGGCCATCGCAAGGTAACTGCCCAGGCAGCAGAAGCCTCGGCTTCACCTGTCCAGGTAACAGGTCAGTAGGCAGGCTGTGTCTCCAGTCTGCAGAGGTGCTCTTCATTTTTTACTTGTCCATGGGGCCTAGCTGTGAGCCAGAACCTCAGAGGGAATGGGGAAGGAACTTTGGCAGCGGCCAGCCTCTGCAGAGGGTAAGAGGAAGCCTTGTCTGTGGAAGGGGCAGGGGTGGGGCAGCTCCCCGGTTAAGGCATTTCATCCGCTAGTGGGGCTTGCGCTTTGTCTTGCCTCCTAAGTAGGCACAGCTGCTAGAAGCCAGGTCAAGTCACACTGCCCTGGAAATCCCTGTTCAGCACCCCTCAGGTCCTTGAGTTCCACTGGCAGGCAGAGGCATGGTGGGGGAAGAGGTGTGCAGGAACAGGGTGAGTGGTCACAAGTCTGCTGTTGGCCTGTGCTCCCTCTAAGCAGCAAGAATACATAGTTTGCTTCCCCTTGGTGGCCCCTTGCCCCTGCATAGGCTGACCCTCTTCCAGGTAGGGGCCTGGTCAGAACTCCCTTAGCCAACCTATGAGAGTGCTTAAGAAAGTTAGAAAAGGTTGGGCTGGGCTGAGGAAAGACTGAGGTTCTGTGGGGCCATGGGGAAGCCAGGTCTGCAATTGGGGATGTAGCAAGTGCTGTCAGACATGCTGTTGGATGTTTCCAGGACAACAGGGCTCATGGCATCCTGATACCATTGCTAGTTCTCGGACTACTGGTTTATGCAGCACCTCCTCAGGACCTCCTGTAGTGGCCAGTGTGGGCAGATCCATGTGGGCTTCTTCCTTCATGTGGCCACTGTTAGTCTGATTTTGTAGACGTCTCTGGCTGGTGAGGGCAAGAGCCTGTAGTGGCTGGCTGCTCACACACCAAGGAGCACTGCACTGAAGTGGGAGCCACTGCGTACCATGAGGGAGGAGCCGCTGGCATTGTCCAAGAAGACAGAGGTGTACTGCCCCATCTGCAGGAATGGCACCTGTCAGGCATTGGGCTGGCCCTACTGCAGAGGCTCTGGCGTCCTGCATTGTGCCTCAGGGGCCAGTGCCCACACTGTTGCTCACTCGGTCCCACACAAAAGGGCCCAGGTCTGGGGCCAGAGTGAGCACTCAGGAATTCTTGGACTCAAACCAGCTACTCCTCCAGTGCTTTCTCCCCTCCTGCAGTTGATGTGTGTGGAAGCAAGCCCTGGCTCAGGGCTGGAGGGAGCCTGAGTCTCACAGGTTTCTCTGCCACAGAGCCTCACAGGTCTGCCTGCAACCTCTGACACAGCCATGGTGACAGGACTCCTCTGGTCTGCTGTTCTAATGTGGTTCACACACCAGTATCATCACAGCCCTGGGGACTCCCAGACGCAGGCGACCTGCATCTGAAGATCCAGGGGGAGCACACACCCCTTTGTTCACCAGACCACCCTGCCTTGAACTTGAGAGGGAAAGCAATGCTGGCGGCCACCGGAGAGCACTGAGCTGCATGGAGCTGTTACTCCACACATCTGCACTTCTTGTTTAGCAAATCCACCTTAACATCAACAGCCCTACATTTACCAAATCCCTGCAGTACCAATGAAGGGGTCGTCACTTAGGTCCCACGTAAGAAATAGCTTCATCTAGGGCTGCTCACAACCACGGGGGCCTGGGTGTCATGAAGCACCATATCCACCCTCCACTAGTTGAGAGGGAGAGCCTGGGTAACTTGGGCACCAAGCACCGCAGTATGGGGTGCTTGGGAGATCTGAAAACCGGAGACCTCACACCAATAAGGTTGCTGAAGAGGCCAGCCTCCTGGGGAACAGTGGACTTTGGCGAGAGAGCAGAACCTGAAAGCTGGCTCTGTATGGGCCAGCACCAGTGCACAGTGTGTCCTGGAGCCTCTCCCAGGCCTGGAGTCTGAGTGGGCTGCACCCAGTGAACCTAAGCACCTACCAGCATCTCTTTACCAGGCCCACGCACCTGCAGATACAGGACACCATTTACTGAGATGGTGAAGAGCTCACTGCTGCCCTCCAGGCCCATGACAGTCTCCAGGGAGCTGTAGACAAAACAGTGAGTCAGCCTGCTGGGAGGCCCCACCAACTTCACTCACAATCACCCCGTGTAACTGACACTGCCCAGCAAAGTGCCTGGTCCTGGCCCATCTTCCCTTGGAACTGGGTCTGAACTGGGCGGTGTCTGAACTGAGTCCTCAGGGAGGAAAGACACAGGACCAAAGGTGTGCTTCCAGCACTGGGAAAGACCACACCAGAACCATGCAAGGGGCAGCAAAATGCTGGCTGTGAGGGGAAACAGGCCATTGGCTAGTGTAGTCAGATGACAGCATAGCATCAGGTGACAGAAAAGCCTGTTCAGGCCAATAGATCCAGGGTTTTCAAAGCCAAACTAAGAAGTTCAAGACCACCCATACATCTCCACTTCCTCCAGCTGAATGTGGAGTACTTGCTGCTGTTTGCCTGGGCTTGGTTCCAGGTGCCCAGCAGACAGGAAGCCAATAATCCCTGTGACCATGGGCCAGATGGTGCCAGATGGGGAGTGGGGGACCAACAATGGAAGTCACCAAGGGAAGAAAGTTCACTGGCGAGGGGTAGGAAAGGACTGAGGAGCACAGCATACCGGAGCCTGTCCGGGTGGTACTGGTGCTCTTTGGCCCCTAGGGGCTGGACCTGGACTCCTAGGGGCAGGGTGTGTGTGTGTGAAGATGTTCAGATACCCCTACCCCAAGGAGTAGGACAGGGTCTTTCCAGCCTCAGGGGTCAGGACAGGTGGCCACTCACACGTTGAGCTGGCAGCGGGACTGTATGCAGATGAGCAGGCGCAGGCGGTCCCGGGGGCGCGGCGGCCCCCGCCTCGGCTCTCCTACAAGCACTGCGGAGAGGGCGGGTTGTGGTCATGCGGCTGGATGGACGGCGGGGATGGCGGGCGGTCCCCCCACGTCCCGGGCCTCACCCACGTGCAGCGTGGCGGCGAGGGCATAGAAGCCGGCCACAGGCGCTGTGTACTGGCCGCTGGTCAGGTTCAGACCCAGGCCGCGACGGAAGGCGCCCTCGGCGTCGGGCTGCAGGGCGCACTAACGGTCACCCCGGGTCCCGCTTGGGTCCCGCCTCCGCCCGCCAGCCCCGGCCCGCCCGACTCACCAGGTGGTACATGCCGAGCTCGTGCAGTGCGCGCCGCTCCACCAGCGCGTCCCGGCGCAGGCGGCAGTGGAAGGCGGCCTCCACGCGGGGCGCCCGCGGGCCCAGGGGCGCGGCCAGCAGCGCCAGCACGGCCCCCATGTCCTCGTCGGCGTCCTCCTCCTCTGCAGTCCAGGCCGGAGTGGGGCTCACCGTGGTTGGCCGGGCGGGACCACGCGTGCAGAGCTCTGGGTCTACGCGTTCGCGCTGCCGCACCACACCTGGCACGAAGGGGTAGGTGGACGCCCCGGGACCCAAGCCGCCCGCCCGCCCGGGAGCATCGCACTCCAGAACCCACAGGAGAGGCCGCCTGGGGAAGACCTGGAGAGACTTGCTTCCTGACCCTGCGGCTGCCAGAAACGTGGAGGCGGGCACCGGGGGGCCCTTGTCCAACAGCCTCCCCTCGGCCACACCCACATTCTTGGAAAACTGCAGGTAAATAATTCTGCAGCTCGGTTCTACTGGAAATAACAGTGGAGGCTCTGCAGTGCTGAAGATGGTGTAAAAATGAGCAGCCCATTGAATGGAAGGAGGAAACACTCAGTAGTACACAATACAATCAAATCCAGAAAACCACGCGAGCCCCCGCTCAGCAGCTGGCTACAATACAGAGGACAGTCTTGGGCAGGATCCAGGAGTCCCAGGTGCAGCACAGGTGCTGGTCCCCAGCACTTACCGGGACACCAAATGGCAGTCTACCTTCTTCTCCCTACCATGCTCCTCCCCCACCCCACCCCACAGATGGGGCTGGCCAGGGAGCACCTCTGCAGGTGCTTGCTCAGTCCACAGGTGGGCCCCCACTTGCCTGCCCTGCCCACCCTGAGCAGGCTGTGCCTAAGGGTGACACCCTTACCTTTCAGCAGCAGTTGGAACTCCTTCAGCAGTGACTCGGGTGGGATGAGAGGGCCTGGGGGACCTTGGGGACCGGGTGGCCCTGGGGGCCCTGGCAGACCAAGCTGGAAGAGAAGCTTGGCTGTGAGGACTTTTGAGGAGGCAGCCAGGGGCATCCTCTCTGCTGGGTCCTGCTACCAGGAGGCAGGTAGAAAACTGAAATCCCAGGTCAAACTCCCATGAATGGCACCTAGCCACCAACAAAAGCCACAGGCCCTGGAGTGTGAGGCTGGGATTGGGCAGGTGTGGCTGAGGACAGGGCAGGTTCTGGGTGGGGAGGCAGAGGACTATAGTCTGCCCATGCTTCTGAGATTCCGGGAGGAAGACTCCAGGCTGCTTTTGGGAACTTGCATCTCAGAGTCTGGCATTGGACCCCACTGTGCCTAGCTCACACCAGAACCCACACTGGGCTGGGTCAGAGCCTAGCACATAGCACAGTTGGTAGCCCCTTGCATGGAGAAGCTTGAGCAGGGCTAGGTAGCTCAGATGGCAGGGCAGTGGGCGAGGCCATGGTGCCACTCAGCCAGTCTACCTGCCTGGCCCTGCCTCCTGGGCTCGAGCTGGCCTTCATTTCCAGGAAGGTGATCCTTGCCCTCGATGGACAGAGAAACCCAACACCCAGTCCATACTGATCTGTGATCAATGACCAAGAAAGCAGCACAGCCCTGATCTGGAGCTCCTAAACTTTTGGGGCTCAAAGCAGGGGGCGGCCCTCAGGATCAATCCCGGGTTCCTGCCCAGGCCAGGCCCTGAATGATGGTGGGAACCTACAGCTGCCTGCCCCTCGCCCCCCACCCCATGTCATTCCAGCCCACCTGAAGGTCCCTTCAGCATGTGGTACACATGGCCGGGGAGGGCTCCTGCTCCAGGATGCAGGGGGGAGAGAAGAGAGGGTCTGGCATTCCAGGGGTGCAGGTGAATGACTGGAACCAGGCCCCCAACTCAGAGCTCCCTGGGCCCCAGCCTGGCACTTGCTTCCCATGCTCCCTCCCTGGTGTGTGCTGCTGGAGATGGCTGGGCACAGCAGGGAGGCTGGTTAGGGCTCACCTTCAGCCGCCTGGCTTTGCCCCTGCTCCTCCTCCTGCCATTGACGCCCTTGTCGCTCTGCCTGACAAACAGCATCCAGGCATCCCGGGGGTCAACATTGCGTGCTCGCTCCATGGTGTGCTCCTGGAACACAGCCAGCCCAGCAAGTTGGTTCACCCAGAGGTGACCTCCCAAGCACTGCCCTTCAGCACCATGGCCCTTACCACCTGTGCTCTCATAGACAGCACACCCCACCCCACCCCCTCCCCTCTGGCTCTTGGAGGATGACACCTGGGGACAGGTCACACCACAGCCTAGACTCTCCACTCCTGGGAGGGGCAGGCCCAGGGTGCAGGAGGAGGATGAAGTGTGGAGCTCCACAGCGGGCACTGCTGGGCCACTAGGCCTTTACGATCACACTGGCCCTGACAGTCCCAAGAGGATCCTAGTACTGGCACCCACAGGTACTCAGGAGAGCCCAGGTGCCAGCAGACCCTCCTGTCCTTCCCCATGGTCAGAAGTTCCAGGGAGGCAATTTCAGCCTCAGGGCCACTGAGGGTCACAGAGCACAATGGGCAGGGGGACCAGGTGACGGTGAGATGTCATGACTCAAGGCCTCTGCAACAGGGATGTTGGTCTTCCTCAGCACTTCTAAGACAATGATGGAACAACACAGTGCAGAAATACCCATCCTTGTGCCTGCTGGGTTTCCAACAAGAGCAAAGAACCGGAAGAGGCCTCAGGCATGCTGGGCAGTGGGCCTCGGGAGGTCTAGGCTCCAGGCAGGGCAGCCAGCTGAGAAGGAAGTCCAAGAGGGCCAAGATGACGTCATGGGCATGGACTTCAGTGGCTGATAGAAGGTCCCGGGATGTGAGAGCTGGCCAGGCCCTGTTGTCAGAGGCAGATCAGCTGCCAAGCCTCAGCTGTGGGACCAGAGTCTTCCTTGGGGAGCCTAGTGCTGGCCTGGTGCTTCTGTGTGGGAGGAACCTCAGGACAGACGAGGAAAGGCCTCAGAGTGTCTAGGTCCTCTCTCCTCTCTCAGCACTGCCCTGAATCTTGCAGAGCTGACGGCTGCTGGTTGTGTTCCATGGTCACCAGGACTGATTCCACATGGCAGCCTCAGTGTCCTCGGTGGAAACGAGTAGCATGAGGTCTCTGCACACAGGCCAGGATGGGTATGCTGCGCTGACCCTCTCTGCTGGACCGGTGGCCTGTGGGTAGACTTCGACCCTGGTTGGTTTAGGGGGAGCACCCAGGAGTTGGGGTAGGAGCCGGGCAGCAGACCTGGCCAGCCAAGTTCTCCAACCACCAGGGCTCACTCAGGAGCCCAGGGAGCCCCAAAGAAGGTCCAAGGCCAACCCCCCACCTAGGACCCCTCAGCCTCCTGTCCATTTATGTCCTGAGGTTCCACTGCCTTGCTAGGTCCCTGGGAAACTTGTGGAGAGGTCCTGCAGAGGGCTCCCAGGGCTGCTGCCATCTGCACCCCTCTTGGCTATTGATGGTCCTAAGTAGAATGCTGAGGTTCAGAGGCCTCTCTGTGTCTAGCTCACAAGCACCTTTAGATCAATGGCAGGGAGACCCTACCCAGGGCCCCGCCTCGGGGACTCAAAGCCTCCACCCACCCCGAGGGCTTTTCCAAGAGCCACCAATCCTCTCCCCAGGCCTGCGGCCACACCTCCCACCCTATGAGCCCCGCGTTTCAGGAGTCTGACCCTGGGAAGAAAGGTGCAGGTCAGAGCTACGGATCACCCTTCCCAGCCGGAAGTCACCTGAGAAAATGACAGAACAGGGTCGTTCTGGGCCCTGGACCCCTGTCCTTTCCCAGGGCCCTCGGGGCGGCACGTTTTGCTTTTTATAGAGACCTGCGCCAGACAGGCAGGGGTCAGGAATCCGCTTCCCCTTTAAACTCGGGAGGCTTAAGTTACCCACACTTTACCGGCCTGGTACAATTTAGCTCAAAGTCAACGAATTTCCCTCAAAGCCAAGGTCAAGCGCGGAGGAGGCGGGAGCCAGGCGTGGGGCTGGAGGCCACCAGCCAGCCCACGTCCCAGCGCCCCGAGGGCAGGCGCCGTCCCGCACCGCGTCTTACCGGCGGGCTCTCGGCCCGGCCCGCGGGCAGCTCGGTCCCGGGCGGCTCCGGGCGCGCGCGGTTCCCTGCGGGCGCGCCGGACTCCGGGGCGCCGAGGACGGCAGCGGCGGCCAGCAGGCCGGCACAGACTAGCAGCAGGCGCGCTCCGGCGGGGCGGCGAGTCGAGGCCATGCGGGCGGCGGCTCCGGCGGCTCCGAGCGCGGCGTCGCGGGTCTCTGGTCCGCGCTTTATAACGCGCTTCGATCCCTCGCCTCGTGCGAGGCCGCGGGCGCCCCCTCGCGACTCCCGCGCGCACTGCAGGGGGCAGGGCCGGGGAGGGGCGGGGGTTCCTGCAGCCCCGAGGCCGAGGTCCGGCGCCCCCTGCAGGTCAAGCCCGCGCCCTGCACCTCCTGGCTCTGGCCCGCCAGCTTTTCTGCAGCGAGGCGCCTGGGCGCCCCATCTCCTGACCTCGCACCCTTGGACCTCTTTGCTCCGTAGGGAGCCCTGACATCCCTTCTCTCTACTGTGTCGCACGTCCCCTGCAGAGACTCCAGGTGCCCTGCGACACAGGTTAAGCACCTTGGAGGCAGGAGACCCTCACGGCCCCTCCCCAGGGACCCCCTCCCTTCCAGCGCCCCGAGGCAGAACGCGAAGTGCTCGCTCTTCCCCACGAGATGCGCCCGCCGCGTCCCTCTCGCGTCAGCTGCTCAGCTCTGATGGGGGCCTTGCTGGAAGGACTGACACCTATGGTGCTGTGGCCAGCCATGGGGATCCGCTGCCCACCTCCCGCCAGGGTCAGCACAGAGCACCCTGCCAGGACAAGTGCAGCAGACTCGCAGGCCTGACCTAGGAGAGGGGTCAGGTCCAAGGGCGCCTTTCCCTGAAGAACCAGCCCCGCCCCACCCTGGTCTGCTGTCCAGTCACATCCCCATTTGGCTGGAGACAAAGACATGAGGGTAGCCCACCTGACTGCCTTGCTCAGCCCCTGCGGCCCTGGCCCCTGGTGGGCACAGGGCCAAGTGGTTACAACAGGTACCAGCTGGCTGCCCTCCCTCAGGAATGGTACTCACCCCGCCCCCCCCCAGAAGTGCAGTCTGTGTGGGAGAGGAGGCCTCCTCCATCAGGGTCAGTGTAGATCAAGGAAGGACTGGGCAGAAGGACCAGGATCAGACAGTCGTGCCCACCCAGCTATGGCAGGGAGGGGGAGCCAAAGTGCACCTTCAGACTAGCCTTTCCTAGCTGGCTTAGTGCCAGGGGATGGGCACTGGGTGACCTGGGTGTGACTTGCTCCCTGCCATTCTGGTGCTTCTCTGTAGGCCATGTGGATGGCTGGGCCTCCAAGGTCTGTAAGCACTAAACACTTATTCCATGCAAATGTCCTTCCCTGCCAAGTTAGGAATGCAAACCAGAGTTCTGTCTTTAAAAGCTGACACACTGACACACAATTTTGTTTTAAAGATTACCAATGGGGAAAAAAAAAAACAACATTAATTCCTATAGAATCTCAGATCTCTCAGAACAGATCGGAGAAATGCTGGCTTATGGACTCCATAAAACACCTGAACTTATTTCAGCTGGAAACATTCAGCAGCTCGGTTACAATTAAAGGCATTTGTCCCCAAATACATGCACCTGAGGGGGGTGTCGTACCAAAGCCCTCAGGGGAACTGAGGATTGTCCAAGTGGCTTTTCCTTTCTGGTCCCACTGGAACAGCTGAAGAGGAGTCTGACATGTGAGGAGACTGGACCAAGGAATCAAGTACGGAGGGGGGTCTCCTCCCTGAAACCTGAAATTGCTGGTGGAGGGAGCTTCGTGCACAGTACCTTCTTGCTTCTGGAAAAATGCATCTAAACCCAGCACCTCATTCAGCTTTCCTAGGCCCCACAGACTAGCCCAGAGAGGTGGCGGGCTTGCTCAAGTACACACAGCCCCTGGCCAATGGGGGCCACTGGGCACAGCCATTTTTCACAGCTATGGGCTTTCCTACTGGGGGGGTGGTCTTCCTACGCTCGTTGTTATGAAGCATGAGTTCCTAATGGGTTTGAAGGTTACGGAGGGAGACGTGGGGCAGAGCCCCTATGGGTACAGGACTCCCCGTGGAGCCTGGCTGTGGTTGTGGATATGGTGGATGGACATTTTTGACCCAACTCTGCCTAAGGTGAGGCTTGGACTCTGTCACCTTTGGCAACATGGATGTGGTAATAAGGGGACTCAGTTTGGGGACCAGCAGGAGCCTTGCCATGTGAAAGTAGTTATTCCCCAAACAGTGAACAATCCTAGTGACGTCATGGGCTCTGTCCAGGGCCCAGATTCAATCGGTTCTGGGGATGGCATGGCCTCCTGGAACCCTGAGGTGATGACGCAGCCTGGCTTGGGCACAAGGCCTGAGAAGGCTGGGCCTTCAGGGGGGCTCCTGTATATCTGTGAGGCCAAACAGCTCCCTCTGCAGGAGGGCAGAGCATACCAAAGGCACCAGGAGAAGGGTCTACTGTTCCACTTGCCCCCTGCAGAAGCAGCCCCACCCCCAATTCAAAGTAGGGGATTTGGGGGAGGAAGTCCGTGATGCCTGGGTGGAAGTGCGGAGAGAGTGGCCAAAGAATGGGCTGGGCAGAGCAGGGGTGGCCCTCACGCGCCTTCACACCTGGCAGAAATCTAATCCTCATTCCTGGGCCTGCCTGTCATGGCCTGGGTCCACCTGTCATAGCCTGGGCCTGGCTGTCCAACAGCTCAAAGTGCCAAGCTGCACCCCCCCACCAATGCCCTTCCTCCACAGGAAGGCCCTTTGCTGATGAGGTCATGGGAATGAAAGCTCCCTTCGCCCCAAAACAGCAGGAGCCTGAAATGGACTTGCTGTGTGGCCTCCAGAGCCCAGGCAGGCAACCTCAGCTGCCTCCCCTGTGCACAGGTCATCCAATGTTCAACTAGTGTGATTATAACCCCATCACACAGGAGGAAAGACAGGCACGGACCTTGGGAGTGGCTCAAGGTCATGGTGTTACCAAATGAAACCATGTCTGGGTTCAGCCCCTACAACTTGGGGTCTGCAGTTCTGAGGAACCCACAGATTGACCTGAGCCCTCTGAACACTTAACTTCATTCCTGCTGTGATCTGGACAGGCCTGAGGCCACCAAGGTCTACCCAAGGGAGAGTTCTTTCTGGCTTCTACCAAAGGAGTCATTTGAGCTATTTTCTCCTAATTGATTCCATGTTTTCAATAGATTAAAGAATTAGTCTTTAACTCTGAGGAAGTTACATCGGCTCCAATCAGAAATTCCTTTCCCCAGAAAGATTCTTGTCACAATCCTCTTCATTCTCCAATTGACCAGCCTTGCTCCTGCTCATCCCTTGTACGCCAGGCACGAGGATGGAAGATGAATGACCCAGGCCTAAGGAACAGAGTTCTTCCCTTGCATGTCCCCTCCTAAGTCCCCAACAGATCCTCCTTTCAAAGAGGGTCACCTGGTTGACCAGCTAACAGCATTGGAGGTCTACACGAACCACAGGGAGATGTCAGCTGAACAGGCCAGTCAACTACAGCCACATGAGGGTGTCAACAGCCCGACACAGGGACAGCAATCACTGTCCTGCCTGGAAGGGGGAAGATGCCCAATCTTATCTGGGAGGCGCTAGAAAAAACAAGTCTAATGGCAGTGGCTGTTGTGCTGGGCCTGACTTACTTCTGAGGGCTCTGTGTGCTACCGAGGGCTGGGGTCTTCTGAGGGTTTTCAGTTTCCCCAGCTGCATCGTGGGATGACATCCTGCACCCACTGGGCAGATGTGAGCACCCTTAGCAATGTAGGTGTGTTGCGCTCTCCCCATTCCCCCGTGGGCGTCAGAGTTCAGGGCTTTTACACGTGTTCCAAACGTATCCAATCCCCTCTCTAGAACCCCACAGACACCCAAACCTCCTGAGTCCTTGTTGCCTGGAGACAATGGAAGGGGATGTCCTGGGCTGTCCCATGGCTGTTCCTTATGCAAATGAGGGTCTCATTTGTGTGGGGACCCCTGACTATTTGATTCATGTGCCCGAGAGCCTCTGTGTGCTGTCCTAGTGGCCAGTACCCTTCCCCACCACCTCTCTACCCTCATGGTAGCTTCCACTGTGCCAGTAGCCTCTCTCCCCTCTGAATTCTGGTTGGTTTGGCCAGTAGTTGGCACTAGGGGGAGATGGAGGCAGGAGATGCCAGATCCTCCCATGGAGCATGGTGGCTGGAGCAAGGCCTTGGCTCCTTGGCAGCCCCTCCGTATCATCTCTGGATGTATATCTGCTGCTCCCCTCCTCACCCTGAGGCTGGGGGTGGTGAGGGCTCTCCACCATTGCTACTCCTGTAGTGCCTCGCCAGCCCTGCCCAAACTCCCTAAAACTTACCCCAGCCCGGGACGGCTTTCTGTTAGACTCTCTTCAGTTCCCCAGTTGGAGACCATCTGATTCCTCCCAGAAACCTGAGGCTCAGCTGTCCCCGAAATGGGACTTCTTTGCTGTCAGATGAGGTGGAATTTGGAAAGGCTGAAGGCCAGACCCATCCCAGGACCATCTCCGTTCTCAACTCACCCAGGGCTCGGGAGCAGGGAGCAGGCTTGCCCTAGCACACACTGCCCTTCCAGCCGCCCATTTGGATCCAAAGTAAGGCTGTTCGGCTCTTGCAGCCCTCTTTTGTTTTGATTTGGTACTGGGATTTGAACTCAGGACCTATACCTTGAGCCACTCCCTCAGCTCTTTTTTTGGTGATGTGTTTTTTTCAAGATGGGGTCTTGCACATTATTTGCCCAGGCTGGCTTCAAACACAATCTTCCTGATCTCAGTCTCCTGAGTAGCTAGGATTACAAGTGTGAGCCACCAGTACCTGGCCAGTCCTCACTTCTAAACAGCCCCAGGCCAACCTCCTTCCAGACTGCCTAGAAAGCGTTCCAGATTTCCAGGTTGCAGGTTCAAGGCTCCCAGAATCTGCTCCTTGCTTTCACCCAATACACCAGCAGGTCTGGGTTCTGTTCCCCAGGAAGTAGATACTAGGGCCCCGCTCTGTCTGGCCTCAGAGCTAGCTCAATTCTCCCAAAAGCAATGGCATCAGAAGCCAGTTCCTGGAGCAGAGTGGATCCTGACCTTCAGAGGGGAAGAATCCCATGATTCCTGTTCCTAGAACCCGGGGATGGCAGAGAGCCCTCTGGTCTCTGTGAGTCAGCCCTGGAGAGGAACCCCAATCCACAGAGAGATGGGAGCTACCCAAGGCCTTGGGCCAGTGCCAGGGCTGGTGCTGACTGGACCCAACTCCTGACTTGTACCCTGTGTCCTCTGACAGCCTGTGACAGATGGGACATGTCACTCACATGCAGTGAGAGTCCTTTATTGTCTCCTTGGTTACAAACACAGTTCAAGATGAGAGAGAGGACCCATGAAGCCCAGTCATTCCTGTGCAGGACCCCAGTGAGCCTTGGTGGCCCTGGAACAGGGCTCAGCCACCTCAGTCACACCTTGGCTGGCAGAAGAGCTCATTGAATGCATTCCACCACCCTCTCTCGGGAGGCTGCTGGGGGCAAGCCATTGACTCACCTAGGAGCCAACCTCAGAAGTTCCTGCAGACCCCAGGTGGATCTCACACTGTGGGGAATTTCATTCTGAGGAAGAGATTTCATTTGGATGACAATTGCCCCAAAAAGCAAAGGAAGTCCTTGTCCCTTAGCGCTCTGTCCTGCTGTCTTGGGACCCTTGCTCCTTGTCCTGTACTCCAGTCCCTTTTCTTCCCAGGGCCTCTGTGGGGCTTGCCCTCCTGGTGGCAGGGGATACAGAAAGAGTCCCCCAAAGCAGATTTGGAAACAAAGCACCAACAAACAGAGACTGGGAGTGGGAGAACCCAAAGTCCACCAAGCCCAAAGCCTGCCCCCTGCCACATACCCCGAGCCACCCCATATGTGGTGACTGGGGATGCTGCAGGGTGTGGCCACATGGCTGAGGGCCAGGTGGAAGCAGGCCCACCAGGGAGGGCTCTGCCTAGCATCCTGGGCCACCCCGTTTGCCGCTCATTTGTGTAACTCTGCAGAAAACCACAGGTAGGGCAGAGGGAAAGCTGGCATTGGCATTGGCGAGTCCCTGAGTTCTGAGGGTGCTGTCCCAGGCCCCTCGGCTCTTTTCTCTGAGGTCCTGGCAACATCAGAGGCAGCAGAGCCTCCTCCCCACTGTGCAGATGCCAGGATCCAGGTCCTTGTCACTGATTGCTATGTTGCTTTGGTTGTTTCTGAGACCAGGGCTATATCTCCTAAGGTATGCCAGCTGACATCCCTTGGTGGCCCGAGCCCAGCCCAAGCCCTGGAGAGGATGGCAGCTCCAAGTAAACAAACAAGCAGAAATAAAAGGGGCCATTCCTCAGGACAATGAGAAGCTGCCACAGGGCCTCTCCCTAGCCTAGTGCTCCTGGGTGGGGCTGAAGGGCTGCGTCCACTTGGAGACATCCAGGAAGATGGTGGAAGCCCCGTGGTAGAGCCAGAGGCGGGGCAGAGCACCATGGCGGGCCCAGGCGTCCTGCACAGTGTCGTAGGCTTCCATCTCCACGTGGTAGTCACCATCCATGCCCTGCCAGCGGCCGCCTGTCACATACAGTGCATCACCCAGTGGCACCAGGGCACCGTTCTCATGTAGGCTGTGCTGGGACTGCACCTGAGGACAGCCAGCCATCAGTCAAAGGATGCTGGAGGGCACCAGGCAAGGGGTGCCCTCCTCAGCACTGGGGACAGGTGGAGTGGACGGCCAGCTGCTCAGCCCCACATCCCAACAACCATTAGCTCATCAGCTCCCCGGAGCCCACCCAGCCCCCCTGTAGCTTCCTCAGATTCCCCTTAGCAGGGAGGACCCTAGTTCCCCATCAACCTGCACCTCACAGGATGGCATTTCCAGCCTCCTGGAGTCAGAGGAGCCCAGGGGACACCCAGGCCTGAGCTCAGAGCTTTAAACAGTGGGGTCTGGGCTAAGCCTTGGCTTCATGGCAGTTCTCTGGGAGGGGACAAGAGGACAGATGTGGCTTAGTCCCAATAGATACCCAGGGGGTCCTAGCTCCCATGGGACCTCTTGACCATCCCTGCCTGCCTTGCTCTCCTCCTAGGTCTCAGGAGTGCCCTGAGAGAGGTGGGGACCAGTAGCTTTCCAGGGGCTAGAGAGAAATGTGGCACTGTGGGAGAGCCCGGGGTGGCCAGGAAGGGTCTGTGTGGCCCGCAGGTAAACACGGTAACCAGAGGCTGCCCTGTCTCCAGGCCCAAGGAAGACAAAGCACAGCCCCAGCCCAGTCAATGGTGTGAGCTCCCAGCTGCAGCCCAGCTGGGAGGCCCAGGGAGAATTGCCCTGGCCGGGCTGCTCTGCACCTGGTTCCCCACTGTAACAGTGGCCTGAGGTCAGCAGAGCACTGGCACCAGGGGATAACCGTCGGCAGCAGGATACAGAGGCCCTGCTGTCACCAGGCTGACTGGCTCAGAATCCTAGGGACGCTAGTAGAAGGGGAGCCACTCTTTCCTGGCAGGTGAGTGGGGGCAGAGGTCTAGCTTAGGGCTGAGACCTAGTATGGGCCGCCAGTGGGGAGAAAGGCTAGGGCTTTGTGCCCCCAGGATCGTTTCTGGAAGCCACAACTTCCCACTCCCTTCCCTGGGCCCAGTGGCAGAAGAGGGACAAAGTGGGATGATGCTGGGGGAAGTGGGGAGCCATGAAGCTGCTCGGGGTCATCTCCCTGGCTTGACCACCCCCAGGGCACGAGGCTCACTTCATCTTGGTGAGTCACAGGAAGGTGCTTCTTCCTCAGTCTGAGTCTGCCCTTGAGGCACCCACCAGCTGAGCCTGGAATTGCTCCCCAAGAAGAAAGACAGGCCACCCCTCTCCATGAAGATAGGCACACAGGGTGCCATGGTGGTGACAAGCAGCCTTCAGCTGTGCCCCTGCTGTCATCAACTCTCCCAACCTCACTGGGCTGGGCCAGGGCTCTGTTCCCACATTGGGCTCTGGGGACAGACCTGAGGCCTGCCCCCTTTGTCAGCCCCTGTGTGCTCCCCCAGTCTGCTGTCTCCTGGCCAGGAGTCATGGAAAGACTCCATCTGGGAGGCAGGGAAGATGAGGGGGAGACTAACCTTCTGCCACAGGTTGGCCCCTGGGTTGTACACGTAGACCTTCTTGGTGTTGTCACCGATGAGGTACAGTGCCCCATGCAGTGAGGCACAGCGTGGTGAGGACAGGTACTTGGGCAGGAAGGGGGAGGCGATCACGCTCCATGTGTCTGCAGGACATATGGCACCTTCACCAGGAAGGCTAGGGCAGGTTGTGAAGGGCCCCACTCTCAGGGACCAGGGGTGGCACCACTTAGAACTCAGCACACTCGGCTGCCAATAGAGTAAGCCCTGTTGGTGTGCACATGCCTGCCTCTCACTAAGATGTGGGGGTCAGGGACCTCAGAGGTCTCATCCCCAGGAAGGCCTTGGCCTTGCCAACCCTGACTCACCCTATCCTGACAGACTGCTGGAAGCCCCTGGGCCTCTGCTTCCATCCTGTCCCACCTCCACACACTGCCTATGTCCTGCTAGGTCTATGAATCAGGTGGTCCCCACCCGGACTCTGGGGCCATGTGCTCTCTGGTGGTTTCTGACGGACCCTCACCGCCTCATGGGCCATGTACCAACTCCACTGCCCAAAGGACTCAGCAGGGTTAGAGCCCAGGACCAGGAAGGCCTTCGAGCTAGAGAGTACCAAGCTGGGACTCAAACCCCTACACAGAGTCCAGAGTTGGAGCTCAGGTCCACTGGACCTTGGAGCGTCATGGATCACTGGCTAAAGGTGCACAGAACAGCCAGACAGACTTCAGGGCTGGGCTCCCCACCCCGGGCTGCTATATGGAGGCTTGGGCAGGACAGACTTGAAGCTACCTCCAGGACGGAATGAGCTGTACTCTCTGTGTGATGATTCCTGGCTCTCCTGGCCCTGGCCCATCCCTGCTTCCCTCACCATTCCATGTGCCTCAATGGTGCTGTGACCCTCTATAAGAGATTAGGGGCAGCCCGCTCCCTACCACTTGGCCCCCCATGTCCTGTGCCCTCCCACTGTGATAGGACTGTAGCCTTTCAGAAGGGCCTGTGGCTCCTGTCCCCCTGTTGGGCACAGGCCTGCAGGGAGGGGCTGGCGTCTGCTCACCTGTGATGGGATTGTAGCACTGTAGGGCCAGTGCATTGTACTTGCAGGCACTGGAGCCCACCAGGTAGAGGCGGCCCTGGCAGCTGGCAGCTGAGAAGTTGCTGACATACTTGAGGGCCGGGCTGATGGGTGTCCAGCAGTCTGTGTAGGGGTCATAGCTTTCCACCTCCACCGTGTCTAGGGTGGTGCCTGCGGGAATGTGTGTCTTAGCTGGGTGGGGATGAGGGCAGCAGGAGGCTAGGGAGGTTGAAGAGGGCCTGCAAAATGCAGAGTCCAGGGCTCTCAAAGGTGGCAGGGACCACCCTGAGTGCCTGAGGAGGGCATGTGAAGGAGGCCACAGCCTCAAGGGGCTCATTTCATGAACATAGAAGCTGGGCTTCTTGCTGGTAAGGGCACTGGCCCAAGGCCATATTGCCAAGAAGTGGTGTGGGGGATGGGCACTTGGACCCAGGAGGGGTCCTCAGGGAGTCCTGGGAGGGGGAGGATGTAGGACACAGACTCTAGAGCTGTAGGCATCCCCAGTCCCAGTGGAGTCTAGATGTGACAGTGGAAGAGAGGACAGGCATCTCTTGCCTTCCTGGGCCCTGACATTGACTTCGTAAGACCTGGGAGCCCCAAGGTGCCCAGGACTCAGGGACTCTGCTCTCTGGCCAGGGACACAGCAGCTATTGAGAGAAAAGGGAGCAGCAGGACAGGCGGGACATAGGAGAGGCCAGCCTGGGGCCACATGCATCGCATTTTTCAGTATCCATGCAGTCAGCAAGCTCCTGCCTGTAGTGCCCGGGTCCCTGGGTGTTAATGCTGTCCTGTGTCAGACGGGGGTGGGGAGCTTGCTGGGATAACAGCGGAGAAGCCCTGTGGATCCTTCACACCTGAGGCTTAGTGGTTAGGGGCTGAGGGCTGAGCCTAAGATTCTGGTTCCAGGTCCTAGCTCCTTTAGGCCACTACCTGACACCTGTCATCATCTTGATTCTTCCATCCCTGGCTACCCAGGCTGCCCAGGCCACAGATTCTGATCACTGCCTGCCAGGAGTCCCAATGTGGGACTCGCTGACCCCACTGGACAGTGAGCAGCATGGGGAGCAGCATCCCCAGGGAGAGCGTGGAGTGGGAACCCTGGCTGCAGAATAAGGGGCCCTGGGGAGGTCATGGAGGGAGGTCTTACCGCCAATGGCGTAGATCTCCCCGTTGAGAGCGGTGCTGGCATGGTTTGTGCGGGCCTTCAGCATGGGCGCCACAGGCTTCCAGACTGCTTCCTTCAGTGGGAAACACCAGGCCTGGGTGGTTGACCAGGTGTCTGTCTTGGTGCCCCGTGAGCCACCTGCCAAGAGAGGTTCTGTTTGCACAGGTGCCACCAGCCTGGGGTCTCTGGGCTGGAAAGCTGGAGCCAATGCTCCTCCCCTGACCCTCTGCCTGGCAATGATTAATGATTGTAAGCCTTTTCACTGCCAGATTTTGGGTCAGAAGTAGGACATGGGTGACAGTCTAGCTGTGGAACCTCTATCCACATAAACAAGGGGACATGATAAGTGGTTTCCAACCTCCATGGGGGGTGCTTTCTCCCCCAGCCAAATCTTACAGAGAGTCCCATCTCCTGAGATGCTATCACTCAGTTCTAGGAAACCCTTACTGTGGGGCACCGCAGGGCCAGTCTGCACTGTCAGATGGTGTAGATGGAGCTGCCCCCAGCTCCCACAAATGCACCCCAAATTTAAATGTCTTTGAGTGGAAAGGTCTGAAAGGTCTTGGCTAGCTTGTCAGTGCTTCCACTTGAGTGGGGAATGTTGGTTTCTGGGCAAGCCTGGGCGGGATGACCCTGGAAGGAGACCCAGGCTGCTTACCTGTGACATAAACATCATTGTTGAGTGCTGCCAGGGAGAAGCCCCACTTGTGGTAGTCTGGAAAGTCTGGGAGTGCCATCCACCTTCCTGGCAGGAAGAGAGAAGCACAGGGTCAGGGTGTCCTGGCTCCCCCGCCTCCTGAGTGCCTCTTCCAGGGACTGGCCACAGAAATGGCCCCCTCAATGGCAGAGACAAGCAAGTGGAGTAACCTCTCAGAGCCTGGCCCCAGACTGGGCACAGGCTGGCACTTAAGGGTACAATGAAGGGTTGCCCAGCCTTCATAGGCTGGGGTCTGACCCTGACCCCTCAGTTTACACACTGACCCCTGAGTGGGCCATTCGGTCCCGGTCTAGTGCCCCTCAGTCAGATGGGGTGTGGGATAAGTGTCCTAGTCTGTGGGTGTCACTAACAGGTGTGACACCATCATCTCTCATCTCTCATTCATTCATCCATCCTGAGCCCCTTCTCTGCCCAACAGGTAGAGTGGGTTCTAATCCCAGCTCTCACGTACCAATGGTATGTCATTGGACAGATTCCAGCCTCAGTTTCCTCATAAAATGGAGGCTATCCCCACCTCCCAGGGAGGTGTGACACGAGACGACTTGTATGGCACATGAGAACTGCCTGGCCAAGATTGTGGTCAGCATTGTGAGGGACAGCGTGGTAAGACACATCAGAGCTGCCTTCCTGAAGTTCCCAGGGTAAACTGAGGCAAGAGTTGAGAAGAGGCTTTGAAAACTATCAACAGGAGACCAGAAACACATGGTGTTAAAGTCTTGTGAATGAACACAGTTTGGGTGTTTGTGGGAGAGCCCAAGCCTTGGGGAAGTCCCCTGGTAATACTGTTTACTGTTTATGACCATTTGGGGGACATGTGGAATTCCAAGTCTCATGGTGAGCAGGGACTGAGTGTCCCCTGACTCATGTCTGTGTCACTCCAGGGTGGGGATTGCCCAGCAGTCAGTGGGCCACTGCAGCCAGCCAGCTGCTCCCTCCTGACGTCAGTTGGGGCTGACGGCCTCTCGTCAGCTCCTGACCTGGACAGCTGGCCTCGGCCTTACTCCAGCCTGCCTGCTGCTGACGCCATGGGTGGCTGGTGACCTGCCTCTGCCCCAGGATGCCAGCCAGCCCTAACCAGCACTTTCTCCAAAAGCAGAATATGCAGGAGGGGCCAATGGGGGTTACACAGGCCCTCCAGAGTCCTTGCGGGCCCCTCACTCCCCCTTTCCCAAGCAGGCAGGTGAGGTCACATCCAAGTGATGGCCTGGTCTCAGTGTGCCCTCAACTCTGGGCCACCTTACAACTGAGTGAGAAAACGGAGGCCCTACCAGGGAGGTCAGGTGACCCGCTCAAGGGCCAGAACCCTGTTTGGACTAACCCAGAACCTGGGCTCTCTCCCCTGGGCTATCTGCACCCCTTTGTCCCCATTTCCCCCTGGGGCCTTGTTTCCCCCATTGGGCACACAGGGTAGGGGTTCCTGAGAGGAAGCAGCAGGCCAGGCTATCTACCCCACCCAGCACTGTCTGGGCAATGGAGCCCTTTGTCCTGGCCCCTAGGACCTAATAAAGACCAGAAGTGGGGCTCTGGCTGGACCCAGGGCTCAGGTGCAGCCCCATGAGACCCATCAGACACCCCCCAGGATGTCGGTTTGCATAGGTCCCCATCTCTAGGCATCTCTGTCTCTATCTGCCAGGGGGTATGCTGGCATATCCAGGACAGGCGCAACAGGTACTCACTGGCCTTGGTGTTGTAGAAGGCGAAGTTTCCGGGACGGGGATCGGGCTCCTCGCTGCCCTCCTCGTCCTCCTCCAGCGCCCGCCCGCCCACCACCACTAGCACCTCCTGCAGCTTCTGTGGAAGGCTAGGCAGATCCTGTGGGCAGGAGCAAGGTCAGAGGGGCCAGCCGGAGCTTGCGGCATTGCTCTGGGTCGGTGCCCTTGCATGGCCTGGGCAGGCCTCTGCATGTGTGCATGTGCCCATGCACATGTGTGTGGTTGCCATGGGTGGGGATGGCAGTGGATATGCCTGTGGGGAGGAGCGGCAGGCCTGTCACTTTGAGTGCAGAGCTTCTGCCTCCCAGCAGTCATGGCATGCCTCTCAGACACTCTTCACCCAACCTGGCGTGACCCGCTTCTGTACCCACCCTTGGTGTGGACTCCAAAGCCTGCCTCCCTGTCTCCAATTAGCTGCTGACTCTGGGAGCCCCTGATCCCAGCACTGGGTACCCTTGCCTGATAGAAAACACTGGAATGCTTTCCACATGGAGTCATTACTAAGTAATGCCCAAGCCCGCCAGGACTGTTTTCTGGATGTCCAGACTTCCCCTCCTCAGCAGCAGGGTGAGCGCCCAGCGTTTCTGGCACCAGGCCAGGCCAGTGACTGGCTGGTGCCAGTGAAGGCTGAGGTGTGGAACGCCCACCATATAGTCCATCCTTAGCTGGCCACATCTTCGTCCCCAGCAGGCTGCTGGCAGCTGGCCCACCATAAGCTCCTCGACTCAGCAGCGCCTGGGCCTGTAGTTTCGTGAAGACCTGCCTTGACCAGCCCACTGTCAACATGAGCAGGACTAGCATCCCATAGGGCTTGACGGGGGCGCTCAAAGGCAGGTGGCAGCGGGTATCATGCCTTCCGATCACCTGCCTGTGGCCAGCTGTGCCACCTCCCTAGATGCTTTCCCTTCTCTTCCTCTTCTCAAGCTCCTGCTCCTTTTCTAAGGCCCAAGTTTGATGCCACTTCTTCCGGAGTGTCCACCCTGACTGCCGGCCATTGCAGGATGACTCAGCATGTTCCCTGTCCAGCACTGGCCTTTCCACTCTGCCTTAGGTCTGTCTGCGGGTCTGACCCCACTGAGCTGTGGGCTCCTGCAGAATAGGGACACTTCTAGTTTCCCCTCCCTTGTCATCCAGGGTGTGTCACACTCAGGGCACAATCTGTCCTTGAGAGGTGAACACTGATACCCTCACAGGGGACTAGCCCAAGGCAGGGAGCAATGCAAGGTTGGAGGGTGCTTTGGGGAGTCCACTCCTCTCTCTTCCTCCCCATGCATGTTCGGGCTCAGGGTTCCTCTCTCTCTTGCACACTCACCCCACTGTAGCTTTGGGACAGGACCTCCTGGCACGCCTCTGACCCCTGGATCAGTGGCTCTGAGGCCAGCAGCTGCTGCACGCAGGGCCTGGGCACAGCATCCAGATGCACCAGGCTAAGCAGCTCAGGCAGGTGGGTGGCCCGGGCCTGGGGGTCATGGCGTACCCAGCGCAGCAGGGCTTCAAGCCGGCTCTGCTCTGACTGTATCTGCAGCAGGTCACTTGCCAGACAGGTGGCCAGCCGGTCTTGGGACAGCTGTAGGAACTCGTCCTCTTGTGCCACGGCCTCAAAGTTCTCCCGGAGGAAGGCCCAGGCCTTGGCAGCCACGCCCAGCAGCCCCTGCTGCTCCCCAAACTCACAGATGCCCAGGCAGTTGGTGGCGTCCAGCTGCTGCTGGAGGTAGCGGCCGCAGACCTTCTGCACAGCAGGGAAATGGAGGCGCGAGGCCGCACGTGTCAGCGCCTCCACATTGGTCTGTGTGATGGTCAGCCGGCCCGTGTACGCAAAGTCCACCAGCTGCCCCACCACATCTGGCTCCATGTCCTGCAGTTCCACCTGTGCAGAGAAGCTCTCGGCAAAGTCGCCTGCAAACATGGCATAGAAGTAGGGGCTGCTCAGTGCCAGGAGACCGCGGTGGCAGGGCAGCTCCCGGCCACCTACCAGCAGCGTGACGTCAGCCAGCTTGGGCAAAGAGCGCAGCCGCTGCAGGCCGTCCAGCATGTCCTGGGCATGGGAAGGCAGCTGGAAGTCCAGGTCATCCATGTTCCGTACCATGGTGCAGTGCCAACCAGGGGCTCTCTGCAGCCCACCCTCTGTCCTCTCTCCCCAAGTGCTTGAGGTCTGCAGGAGCTCCTAGGGAAGAAGACAACCAGGTCAGTGAAGGAGCCACAGTCTCATCCACTCCAGGGACCCATCGTCTGACCATCTGGGCATCAGTTGTTTCCACTCCAGTCTCCACTGGTGCAGGCCGCTTTGACCCCCATTCTACAGGGAGGAAACAGGCTAAGAGGGGCTCTGACCTATCTGTGGCCAGGCAGTCAGGGCAGGACATGGTCAGCCAGAGGACCCAAGACCTGGACCTCCTCCATAACTCTGGGATACACAGCACAGATCCTCAGCGCATAGGGACCCCAGGGTCCAAGCCCCCAAGAGGCCACCTCTGTCTCAGATCTGACATCACTGGGTTTCTGTTGCCTTCCTGTGTGACCTTGCTGGGTGACCTTGGGCGAGACATGTTCCTCTTTGGTCCCATATCCTCACCTTCTGATGGAGAGGCTGAAGGAGAAGGGCCTGGAGTCACAGTGCTCCTCACATGCCGGGCTATGTCCTAAGCCTCACTCTGCATTGACCACTCAGCCCCGCAGCTGTCCCATCAGGCAAATGCTATCATTTTACAGCTGGGGAAACTGAGGCACAGAGGGCTTGAGTCACTTGCCTAAGACCACACAGTTAGGTAGTGGGGGAGCTGGGGTTTACACTCAGAACCAGATTTGGGGCTGTGGCCAGGTGCAGGTTGCTCTAGGTAGAACTCACCCAGAAAACCACAATGGGTTTGCTCATTAGCTGCATGTTTGTTTGTGTACTTCTAGGTATTTTGCCCTAAGAAAACTGTCCCCCCAAAAGGAACAGTACAAAGACAACCTTCCTGAGCGCCGGGAAGGCTGCACAGCAGAGGTGTCCTGCCCACCAGGGGGCACTCACACAGCCACTACAGGGCAGGAGCAGTGACCAGCAATGGGTGAAATACCGGGAAAAATGAATAGTTCACCAGTCAGAGATCTGGTGAACAACTGAGGTCTGTGGCAAGGGATGAGGACCGGGTGCCTCAGGCTTGCGTGACCCCAGCCCCCGCTGCCCATACATCAGGAAACCTTAAGGGATACTCAGCCCTCTGTGCCAGCCCAGGTGGGCTCAGGCCTAGATAGGACAGTTCTGAAGGCCTGTGGCCAGAAGCCTCAGCACACACAGGTCAGTCATTCTGCCTGACCCCTCTAGGAGGCCCCTGCAGGGTGAGGAAAGATTGGCTGGGGCTTGTGTTGGTGAGGGTGGTTGGGGGCTGTCCCGAGCCACTGGCCACAGGTTTTGCATTCCTGTCATTTCTGTGCTGTCTCTGGCCAGCCGCTGTAATGGTGGTGGCCAGGCAGGAGTGCCCAGCACCTCCCTGAGAGGTGTTGAGCTCCTGCTGTCCAGCAGTTCCAGCATGGGGTGGGGCTCTCGGGTGCCTCAGAGTCTCACCCCTGGCTGCCCGGCTGCCTGGGGCTGAATGCCAAGGGCACAGACCTCCCAGCAGATACTGGGGGATCAGACAGGACAACAAGACTTTAACATAGCCTGGCTGCAACCCTGGGAGATCTAGCCTCCCCCCCACCCACCTGCCCAGTCAAGGACAGGAGGAATTGTGTCCACTGTGCTCCAGCCCTCCCTCAGGAGCCTGGCTTGGTCTGGGGAGGGAGCTCTGTCCAAAGCACTTGGCCCTGTGGTCACTAGACCTCTGGCTACCTGCCCTCCTGCTCCCATCCAAGTGGCCACCTCCCCTGTGGTCTACTCCACCCAGAGCCCCCGGACCCTACCTTTCCGTCAGCTCTGGTCCCCCTTTCCTGAGACCACAGACCTGAGGACAGGACTCCAGCCTCAGTGTGGGGTAGAGAGGCCTGCTGGGCTGGGCTGGGCTGGGCTGGGCTGGGCTGGGCAGGGCTGGGCCGGGTGGCCACGTGGGGGTGAGGGGGTATTTTTAGACACTGTCTGCACAAGAGGGAGGGTGGTGAGGGATGGGCTCGTGGGGGAAGGAGTGAGGTGACAGCTATTCGCACATTATCCACTCTGAAAGACCACACTGGTCTCATCACATCTGAGGGCCTTGAGGCCTCTGGGTGACTGGAGGACCAGGGCAGACAGCAGGGAGCTTCTAGGGCAAGCGAGAGCTTTCACCCCACCTGGGCTGTCAAGCTGACATGGGGGGTGGAGAAGACAAGTGGGACATCCACAAGATGAGGACATGGGTGCCTGTGCCTGGCACACAGAGAGCCCCAGCTCAGGGGATGCTGGGTACTTGCCAGGTGTTAGCTTCATCACAGTACTGACAGGGCCCAGGTGGCTTTGGCTCTTCTGTCAAGTAGGAAAGTCACAACACGAATAAACTCAGGTTGATCAGTCAAATCACTCAAACCTTGGGGGTCCACGGTGGCAAAGAGGAGGGTGCCCAGGACACTGAGGAGACCAACAGGGATGGAAGACACCAAGGCTCTTCCCTGCTACATCGTGGCATTGGCCTTGGGCTGCCCTGGTGTCTCCCTTCAACCTGCCCAAGGCAGCTAAGAAATGGGGTCATCTAAAAATACACTAGATGGGCTCACAGCCTTCCAGGCATGCTTACTTCACAGGGACCCCTCACGTCTGGGTCAGGATGGTGCTCAGGAGGTTGGTCTCAGTCAAAGTCAGGTGGAGCTTGGGAACGAGGGTCTCCAACCCTTCCCATGCCAATGGCCAGAACAGACCTTCCCACTCAGGGACTTCAGGACTCAGGAGAGAAGCCTCAGCCCTCAGCCTGGAGTCTCACTGGCCAGTCCCCTCCTTTCTTCTCCTTCATGGGCCTCACTAACAGGACTGCCTCCAGGGCTGTTGAGACACGGGAATCAAGAAATGAACTGATGCTCTTCTAGACAGGGGGCCCAGGTTGGCTCTGGGGACAGACATCCTGGCTGAGATAGGCAACTTCTCGGGGGCTTTGGGGATCCTGATAGCTAGGCTGGAGAACAGATGGCATCTGCCCCGCCATCACAGCGGCTGGGGAAGTGGTGTGAGCTGGCCACCACCGCCCTGCTCCCATGTGGAAGGATTTAGCCCTGTGAGTGTACAAAGAGCTCCTACACTGCTCATCCACAGCGCAACACAGGTGTGGTCTCTAACTCCAGGCTTCTCTCCCTGCTTGGCCCTGCCCAGCCCCAGGCTGGCCTCTTCTCTTGCTTCTGCCCCTTGGCCTTGGTCTTCAGCCTCACATGATGTGAGGGACCTCCTGGGTGTCCCCAACCGTCATGTGTTCTGTGCCTTCGCGGGGAGCAAGGTGTCAGGTTTGCTGGCAGAGTGTGAAGGGTCTATGCACCTGGTTCAGGCTGGAGGAAATTAGGACAGGGACTGCTGTCACAGGGAGCTGACTCTGCCTGGGCATAGCGCTGCATACCAAGGGAGCAGACCACCCAGCAGACATTGTGGTGATCAGAGACCCCCACATCTCAGATGACAGGAGACTCAGCGCCAGGTTGCTCCTGGTCAGATTGAGTTGGCACAGTGCATTTTTTAAACACACCCCTTGCTTCTCTTTATGATGATAAAAATAATAACACATACTCATTTTTGGAAACAAACAATATAAAACAAAAAACTGCACCAGCCCTTCATAAGCTGGCACGCTCCCCTCCGGTCTGTGACAAGTCTGCCCTCCACACCTGATGCTGAATCATGAGCATTTCTGATGACACCGGTGTCTGGAAACACGGGTTTAATTTCATCTCAGCAGGGAGACGCCTCACTTTCTGAGGCTGGAGGCGACATCCAGGCCCAGCTCCTATTTGTGGACGTTCGGGCTGGTTTCCATTTTGGACTGACTGCTCTAAGGAAGGGGGTGTTCACTGTGTGATTATTTTCCCAGGATAGATTCTGAGTGTGAAATCACCAAGTGAAAATGTGCGGTCATCTTTGAAATGCAGTGCTCAGACTGAGGGACTCCAGCTTGGGTGAAGGAGCGCACTGGCTCCTGCCTGGCTGTTCCCATGGCTGGGTCAGCATCAGGCCATGAGACCCGCCCAGGACAGAGCCCTGCAAGTCAGACAGGCCCCCTCCTCTTCCGGGCTTTACTGCTCGACTGGTTCACAGTGTTTCTTCTTTGTGTGAGATTGACTTGCGGCAAATTGCCAAGAGGCCATCCTCTTCTCTTCTGATAGTTAACACTATCAGAACACTCAGCTTTACTGATCCTTCTTCCCTTATGGATTGGCTGTGGTCCCTTTATCTTGGGCCATGTTTTCCATGGGTGAAGTCGGTCTTCTGTGTTCTCATCTGTTGGTTCAAGTGACCGTGTTCTTGGGTCAGAACCACTTTGACAGATGACTGTTCTGAAATCATGAAGGTTCAGGTCAGAATCAAGCTCTTCCTTAGTCTTGTCCTGCTGTATCTGTCATCTATTGCCACACAACAAATTTTCCCCAAACCCAGTGTCTCAGAACAACAAACACTGGGTCACCCAGCTTCATTCTGGAATGGTCCTCTCGCAACGTCTGCAGTCACCTGGCATCTGCCTGGATGGAGCTGTGGCGGGAACACTCAGCTCTCCCCGCCTGAGTTTCCACTGGGCTGCTCCCTGCCTGCAGTGTCTTCTCTGAGGTGTAGAGAAATTAATGGAGCTGTAACCTCAGCATCTTCTATAACCTGGTCAGAAGTGACACCCATATCTTCTGCCTCATTCTGGGGGCTGCATGCTGTGACCACAGGAAGCAGGGTTACTTGGGACCTTTTTAGGGGCTGGCACCACAACTTCCTTTGCTCATTTTTTTCTGTTAAATGAACTTGAGAGAAAGAAAAAAGTCAACTTTGCATGAAACATACACACTTTCCTGCAGACATCTTTACTGTGCCCATGGTAGTTCCAAGGAAAACTGTGCTCCCTGGCACGGTTTCTGCTTTTCTATAGCTTTACCTTCCCCCTCTCTCCAGGGTCTCTAACTTACTACAAGCCTTGTGTTGTGTCTGGTGGCCTCCAGCACGCATAGGAAGGAGCTCTGGGTTCTCAGTGGGGTTTTGCCAGCTGGATGACAATTTACAGACACCAAACAGGCCTTGCACCTTTGAGTGTGGCTTCATGGGTGCAACCCTGCCTACTTCAGGACACCAGCTCCCTACAGATCCCCATGGGTGAGCTGCTAGTGGGTCAGGGCTCCCAGCTGCTGGGCATCAGAACCACATGCCAGCATTCCCAGCCCCACCCCAGGCCAGAGAGCCAGAATCTCTGGGGCATAAGCCCCCATGGCACTCCTTGCCTGGCAGTCTACTTGGGCCCAGGTCTCCTTGGGACACTGGTTCTTGTCAATGCCCCTGACAGCTTGGATCTGACCCTTCATCTGGGAAACTGAGGCCTAGAGGATGTGAGGGGATTACAGTAAGTGGGCAGGGATGCCCAAGCTGGGCATGTCAACTTTCTGCCCCGGAGTGACACAAGGCTGGGCTCCATGTCTGCTGCCCACCCTTCCCAGCCCCAATCCCAGCCCCTCCTTGTTAGGCTCTCAGACAGCATCGCTTGACAAGTGGCCATGAGGGGACCCAGGAGATGCCAGAGTGCCCAAATTCTACCTCTCCCCCTTAGGGATCCACCTATTATTACTAGAACTGGTGAGACTCCAGGGAGTTCTCCAAAAGGGAGGAGACCTCCAAAACGGAAACTGGCCCTTAGGTACCAGGTTCGTGATGTCACAGAAAAAGAAATTTAGGACACATCAAGGTAGAGCCCAACAGAGTTTATTAGTAAAGCAAAACAAAGGAAAGGACAGTCCCACCCAGACAGGTGCGGGCACACAAGGGAGGTGTACTGAGTGCTCTAACGTCAGGGGTGTTTATGGGAAAACATGGATTGGGGTTTGGCTTAAGTTTGCCTTAGGATGAGTGCTCTCCTTTGTTCTTGACACATGGTACATTCATTCATTCTTGCTATTTGGGCCCAGTGATACCAAGTCTGGTCAGTTTACTGAATTTGGGTCACAGTGACACAGAAGTGTGGTTTCCTTGTCATCCCTTTAAACAAGGATGGGTTTCATCATCAGATGCTCCTTTCAAGCCAGGTGTCCTTCCTTTAGGTAATTTTTCCTTCTTTGCCAACACTTCTGTGATCAAAGGAGTCGTTACTATAACGTCCGGCTCTGAATCCCTGGCTCCTGTCCCCGAGCCTCATTTCCCCTGCTTATCCTGTTTTAGTCCCACTCTCAATGCTTGGGCAGCTGCAACGCTGATGGAGCAGCTGTCATTTACAGCTGTGTCACATGTTAGGGCCAAGAGCCAGGGCCTCACTGACCAAGAAAGAGCACTAGGGTTGCTCATGGCTGCCCAGCAGCACCCTGCCCATTACAGCTTACTCTTCGAAGTACCAATCACAGGCTGGTGAGCATCCAAGACAACCATAACCCCTGCTCAGAACCCCTTCCCTGTCAGTCCCCAGTCTACCCCACCACGACCCCTGGACGGGAGGGTCAGCACTGCATCCCATCCCCTCATGGAGGTGAGAGGTCAGGGTCTCTATGGGACTGAGTACACGCCATGATGCTGTAGCTGGGCCGAGTGAGGCTGGAGTGGGAGTGGACACTTGGTGCCAGGCTCTGTGGGTACAGAGGGCTCTCCCAGGGGCCAGTGGATGATGAGTATGGGACTGAGGGTCAAATAGGAACAGGTCCAGTTTCAACTCCAGCATGAGGGGCTTTCACAGTGAAGGAAGCCAGAGGGGCACAGCCCTATGCCCAGCCCACCCCAGAGAAAGGCCTTCAGGGACAGTCACTGGCTGGAGGCAGCCTGGGGATAGGCCTGGGCTACTTCCCTTGTCGGCTCTTCCAGAACTGACCACCCATTATTCACCCAATGCTGTGTCTGCCTGAGGGTCCCTTCCCATGGGACCCTTGTGATCCCGCTGCTCTGTTCACCGCCTGTCTACTGCCCTAGGGCTGAGAGTTCCCTGCCCCCTAGTGGTGAGGTGGGGACACTACAGGAGACCCCTGAAGGCATGTTCCCCTTGTGCAGCCTCTGCCCCAAGGGGCCTAACTGTAGGAGTTGGCAGTCAGTATAAGATTCTTAAAACCTGCCCTCCCCCCAACACACACCTGTTGGGACCATCCAGCCCCATAGCCTTGGTGGTGGCCCATCCATATTGCTGCCACAGAAAACTGTGGACAAGTCACACCCAAGAGCCAGACACCCAGGGCTCCGACCCCAGCACCTGGATCACACGATTCCCTGCAGAACCTGGAGGTCCCCAGGGCAGAATCACCTCCTTTCCCTCTTCCCTCAGCACATGGAGAAGGAGATCCATGGTGACACCCAGCAACAACATGAAGCAGCACACCCCAGCCTGCCACAACTTCTGCTCTGGGTGTAGCAGCTGGACTTGAGAGGGTGACACCCACTCTGCTCCAAGGCCGAGGCCACCTGGGGCCTTCTCCTGTGCATGTTCTTGGTGTCCCTGCCCCCTGCAGTGGCCCTATTCCGCCCCCCGCACCGTTGCCTGTAGCCCTGAGGCCTCAGAGGAGCTAGCCAGCTGCAGGACAAGGGGGAGGCCTTCCCCTGGAGGGCAGGTCTTGTGGAGTGCCCGGCTGAGGGTCACTAGCATGGCAGCAGGCAGCTCTGCATGACTTACAGGTGAATCTGTGTAGGGCCACTTGCTTGATCTAGAAAACTGGGATGGGGATTCTGTCAGATGGAAGTCCTCCTGCCTGAAACCTGCTGTCTCCACCCCACTGCCTTCCCATTTCCCATACTGGAGATCACCAGAAGGAACAGAGGCAGGACCGGGACCAAGGTCCGTGGCCCCAGGCCCAAACAGAAGGTGGACAGAGGTTCTGGACATGACAGACCACCTGCACCAGGGAAACTGAAGGACAGGACACCCAGGTGACTTGGAGCCCTGAGAAGGGGAGCAGGAAACAGGCTGGTGTCCCAGGTGCCAGGGGGAGCAAGGCAGAGGGGTCCTGGGGCTAGGATGCCCAGTCACCTGAAGGCAGGGCCGCACAAGGTCATGGCCATCAGATAGCAGTACTGCCCAAGGGCTCCTGCATTCACTGGTGAAAGGATTCTAATGCCAAGTTGCCCTAAGAGAAGGGTGCCATGCCTGAAGAGAAACCTCTGTCGGACAGAATGGTGGCCACCAGGTAACTGGAAAGAAAAAGACAAGAGGAACCCCAAACCTGCCCCAGAGCCCCATCCAGAGGCTGCAGCAGCCCCTCACTCTCCAAAGGTGAACATCTCAGCCTCTTTCTCCTTCCAGAAGGCAAAGCTGCGGTCGATGTAGCCGCAGATGTCCTCGCTGTTGAAGCTGCTCCGCTGGGTGCCAGACCCCAGCCGCTGGACTGTGGACTTGGGGCCTCTGCCAGAGATGGCAGTGAGTGGCAGGGGCCCAAGCGGAGTCAGACCTGACTTGCGACCAGGCTCTGTGTCCCAGACAGGACCCTGGTTGGAGCCAAAGAAACGGGCTTTGATGTCCTCGAAGCCATCGGTCCAGGCACGGCGGCCCACAGCCACTTCATCAGTCACGGCCTTGTGGAAGGCACGCACGGTCTCCCAGCCGTGGGCACCCAGGTGCTCGAAGACCTCAAAGCAGAGCAGATGGCGCATCTTGCGTTCCTCGGCTGGCAGGTCGCACTCCAGGAGCTGGAAGTACCCCAGCATGAACAGGTCCAATGACAGGCTGCTGTAGGGCACAGGCGCCCCATCCACGTGGGGCAGGAACTGCTCGGGTGACAGGGGACCATGGCGTCGCCGGCTCAGCCGCCGCAGCTGCCGGGCTGGCACGTGTGCCATGATGGCCTTCCAGTTGCCTAGCAGGTGGGCAATGATACTTCGCTGCTGCCACAGATGACCAAGCCGGGGGCCCTCACTGGGTGGCAGGGCAGCTGGCTCTGAGCCCCTAGCAGCGTCCTGTCCCCTGGGCCTGGCACGGCGGGCCTCCAGGGTCCTGCAGGCGGCTGTCTTAAGGGCGGGCGTGTAGGCAGACTTCTTCCAGTGGCCAAGGAAGAGCATGACGATACGCTGCTTGCGTAGGCTGGCCAGGTCCAGGCCTGGTCTGCTGCCAGACTCAGATGGGGCCTCCTCGCAGCTGATGCCCGAGTCACTGGCCTCCTCAGTGTTGCCCGCCACAGGCTCCCCTCCCATCGGGCTGCCTTGGGGCGCAGAGGCTGCAAAGCAGCCTCTTGGGCACTGCCTGGGTTGGTCCCCCAGCTCACAGGGGCCTGGGTTTGAGGCACAGAGCAGGCAGGGGGTTGACTCAAAGTTGCCACGCAGTGTCCGCACAGACACACCCCACTCCTGGATCTCACGCTGGGCCTCACTTCGAGGGGGCCCAGCCGGGGCTTCCCTGCAGGCGCCCGGCAGGGCTGGGCCAGCTGCCTTCTCATTCTGCACCAGCCCATTCACGCCAGTCAGCAGCAGGGACAAGCTGTGTACCAGTCGGCTGATGTGGCTGCACCAGAAGGGCAGCGGCTGTCCACCAGGCATGGCCTTCCCCGTGTGCACAGACCCCTCAGGCTCAGCCACCACTGCTGGGGCCTCCTCATCCTCCCGCCCAGGTGGCCATGGCAGGAAGTGGCTGTTGACGGTGATGCTGACCACGGGCTCGGGCAGCAGGGCCTGCAGCTCAGCTGCCAGCCGGCCCAGCTCACTCTCGTACTCCTGGCAGCGGCGCCGGAGCTGCAGGTCGGCGATCTGCTTCTCCAGGTACACCAGGTCGTCCTCCGTCAGCAGCTCCCCAAATGGGCCCAGGATGGCCTGGTGGGCCTGCGAGTACCGCCAGGCTGCACGCTCTGCAGGACCTGGGTTGCCGCTGTTGTCCTGGGTACAGGAAAGGCAGGATCAAAGGACCATGGGCCACACCTGCATTCAGCAGGGAGAGACATGTTCCTGCCAGACAAAGTCCCCCTGGGGACCTCAGCCTAGCCCCTGGACACCAGTTGACCCTGGCCTCACCTTAGAAAGTACACCAGGTTCACTGATTTGACCTGGCTTTTAACAGGCTGCTGTGAGGACAGTAATTGCAGAATCTCACCCTGGAGGCCTGCAGTTTGTCTGAACAGTGTGTTCTTGGTTGAGCGCTGCACTGTCTAGACAGCGAAGGCAGCCATGCGCAGGTGGTTAAAGTAGTTAAAATTTGAGGCGGGGGAGGGGTGGGGAGCTTTCTGCCTTGGAAGTGATGTAGGCACCTCTGCTCTGCCCCCTCCCCACGCCTTCCTGACACCCCCATACCTCCTCACACTCATCAGTGCTCCGTAGCTCCTCCTGCCACCCCACAGTCTTCTGTGTCTGGACTGCAGCCCCAGGGTCTCCACTCTGCCTCTACTGCCTTACCAGCCCCAGTGAACCCTGCCATCCTATGCAGTCACCACCAGCCCACGAGGGCCAGGCAGTCAGGCTGGGGTTGAGTCAGTTACTGCAGTAGCCCACCCCCCTCCGTTCCCCTGAGTTTTCAGTTTGCAAGCCTTGGGCCCTGGTGGAGACACACTGCAGCATAAGGCAGTCTTAGGTGATCAAATATGAAAGTGGTTCATGCAAGGGAAGGACGCATTTCGCTTTTTTTGAATTGTAACTACTTTAGCTGCCTGTGACAGCATTAATAAATTAACTGTTGCTCTCTAGGGGACAATCCTAGAACTACTGTCCAGACAATAGCCAGAAAGGCCCTGTTAAAACCAGGCTAACCCATAGCCCCTTCTTTGCTCGCTTCCCAGTGGCTCCCTAAACACCTTACTGAGGCCTTGAATATCTGCCATTTCCCCTAAACCTGACCCTCATCACTCCCTCGGGATCCCCCCTTGGGCCAGCCCACCTACTCAGAGGATCTTCACACTTGCTGTTCCCTCTGCCTAGAAGGTGCCTGACTCAAATTCCCACAGGGCTCCTCCCTCACTTTCTTCTGGCTCCTGTTCAAGGTCACCTTTTCAGAGAGGGTGCTTCTAAGCACCCACAAGCACAGCTCCCCACTTTATACCTCTTTGCTTCTCTCCACACCAGTGGGACTCACCCCCCCCACCCCACTGCACTTGCCCACTTCCACTGACTTCCCTGCAAGTGGTGGCATCAGGAGCCTGGCAGACCCCTCACTAAAGAGGAAGCTGAGGCTACAGGGGGCCAGGAGGGGACACCTCCTTGGGTTTGGGATTCCAGGCTCGGGCTGAGGTACCCCAGCTTCCACCTTCACTTGCTGGGAAAGGCCTCCAAAAACCTTCCACCTCTGGCCGCCCCCCCCGCTCCGCCATCTGGTTCTGCCCCTTATCCCCCCATCACATCCTGTCCCACCTGTGCCTCCAGGGTACATCTGCACCCAGACGTGCCTGCAGCTTCCGCACCATCACCTGCCGCTTCCACTCCGGAATGGGCCGGCCCCGCTCATCCCGAGTGGGCACCAGCCCGTCGAGGTCGCCCGAGGGCAGCCCGTCCAACTGCAGTGCAGCAAGGCTGTCAGGAGTGTCCCATGTCACTGTTTCTGGCCCCTGTACAGACACAGAAACCACACAGACCAGAGGGGACCCAGGCCTGAGAAAGGGGAGATCCACATTCCAGGACAGGGGCCATAACCCCGGATGTTCTGGGAGATGGGGCAGCAGGGGCCCTGGGCAGCACCACCGTCACCTTGCTCCCATCTCCTCAGAACTCAGGGTATCCAGAGACAGCCAAAGCTGCCCGGGCAGGGGCCTGGTGTCCACCTTAGAAGAGAGCCAGCTGCTCTGGGGAGCCTTGTCCTGGCCCACCCAAGAGAAGACAGCAAGGGGTTGGCTGGGGGTAGAAGATGGGGACAGAAAGGGAGGGGGACATACCTTGGGAGTGGCTGGGGCACTGGTGGTGACCCTATGGGGAACTGTGCAGGCCATCGGCTCCCTGGGGACAGGCTGGCCAGGCCAGGCTGGGCTGAGAGTCACTGTTGCTGAGAAGGGAGCTGGAGTCAGAGGGGCATCCAGGAAGGGCAGAGGCACAGGGAACAGAGACGCCCAGCCTTGGATGGAGCCCCTGGACCTGAGGACAGACTGGACCCTGGAAGAAGCACTAGGCTTGGAGCCAAAGACCCCACCAGCCCTTCCACAAAACACCCCGGGGTGGGGCGAACATCCTCTCTGGGGTCCTTGCTGGGGTGTCAGTGGGACCCTGAGCCTGGCCTACCCAATGTCCTGACTTTTACCCTTAGCCCCTCTCCCCATGCCACAATCCCTCCCCCCCCTGCACCTTGAGCAGAGCCAGGAAGGCCTTGAGGCCTAAAGGTCCAGGGAACTCTTGCAGCCCCGTCAGACCCTAACACCTGTCCTCTTACTGCCCCAATGCCCCTCTGCATATGAACACACACCAGTGGCACAGTCCCAAGTGAGAAACGAGTGTGCATTGTGGCCTGGGCAGACAAGCGCACATACCCCCACACACGTTCAGACACAGCAACACACACAAAGACTCACAGGCTGGGCACACGGATACAGACAGAGACACACACATTCAGAGACACACATGCACAGATGGACACAGACAGGCACAGACACATGCATGTAGACACACGTTCTTCTACACGTTTTCACATAGCTGCCACATAGCATCCCATGGAGTGAGGCAAAACCTCACTGCATGTGGTGCCCGCTGATTTTCACACTGTTCTGTTTTGTTTTGACAAACGCTGGTCACTGTCCTCTACTGGGTGGTGACCTGTAGTTGGAAGATGCTTTCCCTGTCGCTGACTGCCCTATGGATGCTTGGTCTGCTGAGGGCTGAGAGAGCCACCTGGTGCCATCCCCCACTCCCAATTCTCCTCCAGGCAAGGTGCTGTGATCTGTGTGCCCACCCTAGAAAATATTCATCCTACCTTCAAAAAGCAACAAAACAACTAAAGGACCCTGGAAGAAGCGGGGGTGAGGGGAAGGGGTGGCCCTATGTGCCCAGTGGCCTGGACTTAGCACCCCCTAGGAGGACCTCAGAGGGAGGCTGCAGTGCCCACTGCGCACCCTTGCCCAGGCCAGTCCTGTCCAAGGCTGAGCACTCACGAGGGGGGCTTCTGAGCTGCGAGCCCCCTCTTCTTCTGTCTTCCATGGAGAGTTTCGTGGCTGACAGTGGAGGCGGTGGGAATGGTGGTGGTGGAGGCGTCATCAGGATTGGTACCTGGGGTGGACAGGCCTGGTCAGTGGGAGGTCCAGGGAGGCTTGGCTTGGGCCCATCCCAGCTTTGCCAGGCAGGCATGGGGGGCTTTCCTTAGGGGGCTGTGCAGTCAGAAGAGGGCTTGAAGCAAAGTGTGTAGGAGGGAGGGGCAGGACCTTGTCCCTCCATGCTGGGTGACCAGGCCCCCTGACACCCACAGATCTTGTCTGAGGACCATTGCTCCCAGCACCCTCCAACTTGATTGCCTGCCCGCACCCCTAGTGAGTGACCCCATCTCAAGGCCCAGCTGGTGGGCATCGTCCAGAGAGCTTAGCTTGGGGGATTGGGTTCTGGGCTAGGCCTGGGTCCAGCTTGTGCTCACCTCTCTGGCCTGAGGCCGACACTAGGACACACACACGTGTGCACACGCACATATGCCCCTCCCAGACTGTCCTTGACTACTGCTGAGGCCTCCTGGGCCTCACTCTGACGCGGACCCAATCCATGTTTTGGGGTGGGAGGCTCAGTGAGAGTTGGCGAGGAGAGCAGAAGACAGGAGGCTAGGGTGGGGTCCCCGAGAGCTCACAGCCTCTGTCAAGCTAAGATGCCAATGCTTACAGCATAAGCCTCGCAGGCTCATGGAACCTGACTGTGACCCCCAGCTCTTGTCCGCAGCCCAGCTGCCTTCTCAGGGAATCGGGCCACCCTGCCTGCCTCAAACTGTCTGGACCCTGGCAAGTCTGTCTACTCTGTAAGAGGAAGGCAGGTGCCATCTGGACAGAGAGCAAAGCCTCAGCCAATGTAGAACTCTCCTCACCCCCATAAGCAAGGACTGTGTGGCTGTGACCACACCTCAGGGCAGAGGCACCATGCCCAGGACCTGCCATGTGTCCAGCCAGGAAGTACCAAGAATGGAACTTGGGGGGACCCTCCCTAGAGCCACCTGGAAAGTGGATCACTGAGACCAGCCCTAGGGATCCTGGAGCTATAGGGTCACCCAGCACGTTTGGGCGGGGCACGAAGCTGGGCTTGACCACCTCTACTGCCCTCAGACACTGACCACTGGGCAGCCAGAAACAGTCCTTGACCTGAAGGTGCCACCCCTCTCAGCCCTGCTTGGCCTCAGCTTTGGCACCTGACCCAGGGAGCTGAGGCTTCTGTCCCTGACCATTCAGACTGTAGAGGCAGAGGTGAGGCCAGCAGGGCACTGGCCCACAGTTGTCCTCAACAGCAGAGCTGCACCGGCCCCCTGCCTCCTTTGTAACCTCTCAAGCAGTCCTCCCAGGTCCCCAGAGCCGGACTTGCTGCCTATTGTTTCAAAGCTGAGGGTGGAAAGCTGGCTTGACCCTGTCTTTCTGAAGGTGGACGCCTGGGCTCTGGTGTGCCAGCACTGCCTCATTGCCCATCAAGCATGCCAATGACCAGCAGCTGCCTCCAGTTAACAGTGCCCAGGCAGTGCTTCTTCTGAGTATCCTCTGACCATTAGACCAAAGCCCCTCACCCTCCAAGGCAGGACAGCAAAGGTCAGATATAGCAGTCAGAGCTTCTGGGCTGGTGCTGAGGTCAGCCCTGAGCAGGGCAGAGGACCTGGCTCAGACCAGCGCTGATTCAAGTTGTGTGGCCTGGGGCCAGTGCCCACTTTGTAAGCATGGGACCCATGGTGTGGCTTGGGTCAATGCTGTGCGGTCTCCCTGCCTTCATCCTCATCTGTTTCTGCCAGAGTGGCTTCTCACTCGGCATGGGCTCTCAGTGTAATGCAGCCTGTCCTGCTGGGCAAGCCCTTGACCTCTCTCAACCTCTGCTCACTCATGGCCAAGATGAACCCAGTCCTGCCCACCAGCCACACGCTGTCCAGGATTCTCAGCTCAGGAATGCAGCCTGGAGTTCTGTCTACCCAGTCCCTACGCACCTTGCTCCTTCTAGGAATCTGCAGCGGCCCAGGAGCCCCGGCACACGGGGTAGGGGTGCATCTGCCCAGCCCCAGCCTGAAAGGATGTCAGAAGCAGTTTCTGGGTGGCAGAGAGCTGTGGCTGTTCTGGGCTGTTGGGGGCTGTCAAGACTATGGCCCCCAGGAGCGGGCGGTGTCACATTAATATTTGAAGGCTGAGGTGTCGGGTGGCCAGGCGGGCTGGGGTGTGGGATCCCTTACCACAGGGCCTTAACCCTCTCCAGTGCGGGGACCAGGGTGCACCCTCTGGGAGATGGAAGGACCTGAGGCCTCCAAGCCCTACAAGAAGAGACCATCCAGAGGAACCCCCTCCCCCCTCCCCATGCAGCTCGCAGCACAGATGGAGAAACCAAGGCTCAGAGAAGGCACAGGGCTTTCCCACAGTCCCACAGTTGGGACACAGCAGATGGGACCAGGGCTCCGGTGCAGAGTCCAGTCCCTGCTCCAGCAGGACCACGGCCTGAATGGTGCCTCTTGGTCTGGGGGCACCAGCAGCAGCAGAGGAAGACGCAGCAGCCAGCTGGGGGAGACCTGGGGGTCTCACACATTCTCACCATGTGCAAAGCCCAGCCACAGCCTGAGCTTCTCTCAGGGCTGTTTGCAGGGCGACCCAAGGGATAGGAGCAGACTTTGTTTACTGCTCACTTTAAAGGGAGTCCCAGGCTCAGTGCTCCTTGACTGGGACGCAAGCAAGTGCACTGTGGGCACAGCAGCCATCTGGAACCAAATCACATCAGCTGGGGCCTGGGGGGTCAGGGGACCCTGCCTTGGAGTCTCAGTTCTCTCCCCGCCAACTGAATCTGCTGGTATGTGTGTATGTGGTCGGGGGAGGGCAAGAATGAGGGCACTGGCTGAGCCAGCAGTGACCTCAGACTGGGAGGACTGGGAGAATGGACTCTGGCCTCAATGTAGCCCTTGTGCTGGGGACCTCAGGCTATTCTTAGGGACCCTGGGCCAAAACTCTGCTCCACCCCTCACCACCAAGGGGCTCTGTGATGTCACTGAGCCTCTGCACCCTCGCCTGTGTATCGGCTGTTGAAGGTGAGGAATTACGGGGAAACACCTGGTTGGGGCCACACACATCACTACATCCTTCCTCGCTTATGACCCTGGACAGTGAGCCAGTCCACAGGGATCAGAGGAGGGACAGGTGTCAGTCCTGTCCTTTGCAGTCCTCACAGCTGGGTATGTGCTGCCTGAGCCCTAGCGTGAGACAGTTGCTCTGAGGCTGGTGGTCGCACTGGCTCCAAGGTCTCTCACTTCCTGCCTTGTTTTCGGCGAGATTTGAGCATTGCCGAGTCTGCCATGCATTATATATGGAGAGCAGCTGTGGCGAGCCGGGTTACATCTTGTAATGCCACCTGGGCTAAGGAAATCATGACCTGACGATGCGTGCCGGACACCAGCCACCACTGCTGAGATTCAACTACTGGCCAGGCAGCCAGGCCCCACTACTCCCTTGGGCAGGACACTGTCCAGGGGAGTCTCTTGCTCTTCTGACACCAGTTTCCCCATCTGTCAAGTGCAGGGCCCTGGGTTGCTCTGGGCCTCGGGAGGACCAGCCTGGGCTGAGGCCACCGTGACTAAGCAGGAGAGGAGTGTCACCTGCATCCCAGCAAGCTCTTCAATCCCATTCTACAGATGAAGAAACAGAGGCTCAGAGATGCTCAGAACTTGCCCAGGAGGAGCTGGTACCATCCCCGTGGGTGAGCAGGCAGCCTGGATACCCTGATGGCGCTGGGGACTCTGCTCCCTCACATGGAGCATGTGCACAGTCCAGGGCTGGTCATTGCTGCTGCCACTCATCAGGTGGAGTGGCCTTTGGACTCCCACAGCTGGTGGCCAGCTATAGGCTAATTGAGGGGAGAACCTGGGGAGCAGGGCCTACATTGAGGGCCCCTCTGACCTCTGTCCCCCCAGGAGAGGAGACATAGCTCCTCATTGTGCAGAGGCCCAGGGAAGGACAAGACCTCGCCTTCACCAGGAATTTGCACAGGCTCCAGGCTGGGCAGTGGGTGTGCCGAGGTCCTGTAGACAACAGCACAGGGGACACTGTAGGGGGCTTCCCATGGGGCCCGTGAGCCTCCCATATGGGGTAGGGGTCCCCACTCACAGACATGCTCTGCCTCTCTTGGGGCCCATGGGACCCTGGGGGCAGATCGGGGCAAATGATGAATTTCACCACCTCCTCCAGGGACAGGGAGAGCCAGTGCAGGCGGCCTCTGCATATTGCATTTCCATCAATATTACATCAGGCATGGCCTCCCCCGCCCCCAGCTTGCTGCCGGCCCACAGCTGACAGCCTGCCTCTCCTGAATGGAGAGGGTGCCTGTGAATGGGAGGTGGGAGGCCTGGGGTGGGACAACTCCAGACTGGCAGAGCGTGGCACACTGTTGCTGGGCAGGCCTGAAGGAAAAGACATGGGTCAGTCATAGTCCCAACCCTGTGTGCTGTCTGGACCACACACTACTGAGTCCCACAGCCAAGGGCTCTGACTCACAGGGTCGGGCAGGTGTGCCCAGATGTGGACGAAAAGGGCTGAGGAGGAGGAAGTGGACGGACCTGCAATACCCATTCTCTGTAACTATGGTGTAGTGTGTATGTGAGCCCAGGGTCACGGGCAGCACAGTCTCCAGGCAGGTGGAGAGTTCCTGCCTTGAACCCAGAAGAAAGCCTAGATGGGCTGGTTCCCCTCAGCCAGAGGATGTGAGGGGAGCACACAGGACCCTCTCCCCCAAAAGTGGAGTGGGTGTCCAGGAGGGGCTGATGAGTGCCAGGGTCTGGGATTAGAAGACCGAGAGTTCACTTGGACAGACAGCCAGGCTCTGGCTTCACAGTGCGACTGGTGTGAGTAAACGCAGGGACCCCAGGAGGCCAGGCCAGTTCTGCTCCCCAGCAGCAGGGGCTTACAAAGGGGTGCCAGGAGAATGACCTCCCAATCTCAGTCACCATCCAGGGCAGGTACAGAGCCCTGATAGGGCACAGGAACGGGGCACAGCCGGTGGCTGGGCATCCCTGGCCCATGAATGTGCCCTGCAGAAACCAGCAGAGGCCCAGCTCCTCAGGCCCCAGCCAGAAAGAAGACTTTTCACTAAACAGTAACAGGTCGAAGGGTTAGTCACCAAATGACTAACAGTAATTGAATTCTGCTTTCTGAAACAACGACCCCAGGACAAACCTAGGACACACGGGTCCCTGGTGTCCTCTCAAGCTGCTCTGAGCTGTGGCAGACCTGGCATGGGTTTCAGGCAATGACTACAAGATGCTTTTGCAATGGCTGTGTGAGGATTGTCTGACAGGCATAGGGGCTAGGAAGGACTCTGCCTCAGTTGGTCCTGAACACTGTGAGGGACATTCCCAAGGGAGGAGAGGCACTAAAGTCCCTTGGTGAGACCTGAGCCTCAGTGTTCTCACATGAACAGAAAGACAAAGTGACCATACTGGAGCTAACTGCCAGGCTGGGGCTGATTCATCACAGTCACTGCCTTGGACTGGACAGGGAGGGATGATGGCGGAGTGGGGGGATAACTGGGGAAGAGCTGGCCCCACTCTGCCAAACCACTGGTGCACTGCTTGTCCATCCTCCTCTGCCACCCACCTGCACCCCTGCCTGCTCCTCCATGGATCTGCTCATTGGTTCGTTTGCTCATCTGTCTACTCAGTAAATACTTGCTGGCCCCTGTCATGCGCTGGGAATGGGGACCAGCAGGACCTGTCCCTATGGGTAGGAAAACAAGTGCCTAGAGCTGAGAGAACTCAGAGGTCGTGCCCCAGGAAGGATGGGACCTGCTATCTGGGCTGTAGCAGGCTGCTTTGAGGCCACCTGGGATCTCTGATACCTGGACCCGGGCCTGCTCCCACCCTCAGGCATCCTCAGCCTGAAACAATATCCCATGTAGGCTTCTGTGGACCAAATGACAAGCATGACTTGGTCAAGTTCCAGCTTAGGCTGGGCCCTAGCCCCTGTCACAGTCCTGTCCCAGCCTCATCCCTTGTCCTGGCCCCTTTGGCAACCTGACCCTAGCACCCACTGGCTAGCTATGGCACTGGCCCTAGTCTGCTCCAGGCCCTTGCCCCTATCCAGTGTAAGAGGTGTATTTAATGAGTGTTTGGTTAACTGGGTTGGAGGTCTACTGAGGGACACTGGCTGAGCCCGAACACCCCTCCCCCAGGCCTCCAGTACAGACAGGGTCACCAAGGCCTTACCGGCCGGGCCATCTCACGCAAGTACTGGGCACAGTCCTGGTGTCCGTGGTACTCTGCCAGGTCTGCTGCTGTGTACCCATCTTCATCCCGCAGTGAGGGGTCCACGTGGTGAGAGAGCAGAGTCTGGCAGCACTGTGGAAAGAGAGGCACTGTGATCCCTGCAGCTCCCTGGGTGCCAAGGGGGCCAATCAGTGCAGATTGCTCACCTGGCTCTGCCGTGTGGGTGGGAAACTGAGGCTGCCCAGGGCCATTTGCAACAGGAGCGGGTCTTCTTAAATCTGGGTCGTGGAGCTCCAGAGACCCACCTGAGAGCCTGAGCCTCAACCCACAGCTGTGCTGTCCTGCACTGGTAGTGCCAAGCTCCACAAGGGAACCAAGGCCTAAGTAGCAGGCCACAGCGTGCCCTGTTCCTGAGGGACGGGGATCCAAGGTGCGCAGAGGTTGGTTCCCCTTCGCATAGCTGGAAACAGGTGGTACAGCTGGGATCCAAGCCAGGCAGCCCAACTCCAGCTTCCCAAGCCCCAGACTTCATGTAGCCTGGGTTTATTTGTCTAGCTGCCCTAGGAGGTGAGCACTGTTTACCCAACAACAAGCCAGCTCTGACTCAGGCCTATCTTCTCACCCAGCTACTTTGTGTAAGAGAGGGGGTCACCTTCCTCTGGGGAGTCCAGCACTCTCTGAGGGGCTCACCCCTACCCCAAGCCCCAGCCGGATCCTCAATGTGTCAACCCTTATGCTCTGAGTGCAGCTCAAGGCTGAACCAAAGCTGCACTGAAGGTAAAGTCTTGGGGCAGAAGCAGGTGGTACACTTCTATAATCCCAGCACTCAGGAGGCTAAGGCAGGAAGATCTCAAGATCAAGGCCAGTCTGGGCTATAATAGTGAGACCCTATCTCAAAAAAAAATACATAAATAAATAAAAATGTCAGAACTATTTTATAGCTCATGGGGCCATAGAAAATCAGGTGGTGGGCAGGATTAGCCAGTAGGCAGGGTTTGTCCCCAACCTACCAGGCTCCTGGTAGCAGGAATGAGGTGATGTCCTGAAGGCTCTTGGGCCTGTGACCTGGTGAGGCCAAGAAAGCCAGATGTGTCAGGAGTCCTGGCTGAGCAGGGAGAGAGGCACTGATACCAGAGCCTGGAGGAAAGGCCTCTGCTCTGGGCTGGATGAGCTTTGTATCCTGCTGGGATGGGCAGGCCTGGGAGGGCTTCTCTGTGACCCTAACACTGGGTAGGGGAGGCTGGGACAGCGCGGAGCGGCCTTCAGAAGCCAAAGCAGTGTGGCGGAAGGGGTCAGAGTGCTAGGCCTGGCCCCAGCTGGTGCTGGGCAGAGAGAGGTACAGCCTTCACAGGGACACAGCAGCTCTAGGGAGAAGAGGCCTTTGCCACAGAGCAACAGAGCCCATGGCTGCCAGGATTTGAAGTAGACAAATCAAGACCACCAAGATGCAAGTCTGGAAATTTGTGAGTTGGCTACGCCAGGGGAAAGACAGGTGGGCAAATGGACCCACCCCGGGAAGAGAGGACCAGGTGGGTCACACCAATCCATGGTGCGAAAATGGACTGTACACAAAACACCCCATCCTAAAGTAGCAAAGAGATGACAAAGGCAGGAAAGCAGGGAGGTCTGGACAAGGGTTAGCCTGGCACTCAGATCCACGCTGGCCTGAGGAAGGTGCACACGCAGGAGAAAGTCACAGCCTGGGCTGTTCCAGTAGCAGCTTCAGGGACCAGGGAGACCAGGAGCCACAGGGCCCACCAAGGTAGGCCCTCTCATTAGCCACCCCCCCCCCCCCCCGCAACAGGCTGTGTGCACCACCCTTGGGACAAAGAAGCCAGAGGACAGGAGGGCTAGCCCTCTGCCTCCTGCTTCATGGTGGTCCAGGAACAGCCCCCGGAAGGAGGATTAAGGTGGTCCTGGGCTTCTGGCTCCCACATGTGCCTGGCAGAGGCAAGGCAGAAATCACTCAAAGCCTTCAACTACACCTGTAGATCATTTTCAATTACATTGTTAAGCACCCAGTCAGTAAAAATCAGGAATCCAAAGAAGTAAGCTACCATTAATGAGAACTGGAGACCCGACCCATCAAGAAATGGATCCACAAAGACCTGACGACTGACAGACTGCAGCACCACTGTGCCTGTGACTTTCAAAGAAATAAGGTGCAAGCCTGAAAACTTGGACATGACATTTCAGACTACAAAAAGTGACATGGTGGATGGAAAATTATTCACAAAATTAAGAACCAAGGCTGTATAATTAATAAAGAGAAAATTGGCCCAAGGAAGCAAGAGAGAGTGCCAAAAAGATAAACCAGAACATCAGCAGACTCATGCTGTAGCTTGGGTAAGTGGTTGCCATTGGGAAGTGGTTGCACATTAAGGAGGTGGGGCTTGGTGGAAGGAAGTTAAGTCACTGGGGTGTGACTTTGAGCAAGACACTGAGAACCCTGTACCCACTCCCACCTCTCTTTCTCCCTCCTGGTCACCGTGAGGTGAACAGAGGTGGGCAGAACCCCTCAACCACATGCTCCAGTCATGATGAATTTGTGCCACCACAGGCCCAAAGCAACAAGACCAGACCTCCATGGGCTGAACTGAAACCTCTGAAACCATGAGTCAAAATAACCTTTTCTCCTTGTATGTTGTGATTACTCATGTGTTTTGTCACGGAGATGGAAAGCCAACAAGGTGATTCTAAGAGGAGAGACAGAAGGGGATGGGCAATATCTGAGAGACAGTGGCTGAGAATCTTATAAACCTTGACAATAAATAAAGAGCACCCAGCTCTGTCCCTGTCATAATGAAACTATAAGACACCAAGGTTGAGGAGAATTCTGATCTCGGAAGAGAGGCCCCCAGGGGCAGCAGCAACAGAGGCTGAAGTCCCCATGAGAACAACTGGAAATGACCAAGCTACACTCTTTTCCCAACAAAGGTGTTCTTCAACACTGACGATGGAATAAGGATGTCTTGAGACAGGAAGACAAAACAGAACAAATGATTGTTGGCAGCAGACCTCACAGCCAGGGGGCACACAGGTCTACTTCAGGCTGAGGGAGCGATCCCCGTGGCAGCCTGAGCTGCAGGAAGAAGTGAGGAAGAAGAAAGTGGTCCACTGGTGATAAGTTAAAGTCTTTTGTTTAAAAGTGATCCACTGGAGATGACCTGGCCCAAGCCCCATGTGGCTTGCCTCCTGTCCTCCTGTCCTCCAGGCCTCCTGTCCTCTCATGCCAGCCTCTGTGCTGTCTGGCAAAACCAAAGCCCTGCAGTGGGGCTACAGAACACGGTGTCCACACCTGGAGCATGCATCTGAGCTGGGCACCAAGCATCCCAGTGAGCTGTGTGTGGATGGACTCAGCACCCCTCAGGAGTCCAGCACTGTACAGGCTTTACAGGGAGGAGGTGTGACAACGCCCTGCACAAGGTCCCAGGGAGGAAGTGGCACAGCCTCTGCCCACACAGATAGTTCCTAGAGTCTGAGTTCTCTGGACAAGTTCAGGGGCTTCTCTGGGCCAGGGGATCTTGGAATCCCCAAAGAAGACTCAGTGCTTGGTCCTCAGTCCAGCACCTCGGTGCCTCCTAGTAGCTCTGAGCTATCCTGATGAAGGAATCTCCTGTGCACATAGTTATAAGCAACTCGGGAGCCACTGAGAATGACAGAAACAGGCAAACAGAGACCCAGGTATCCTGTTGGGCTCTGTCCAGCGCCTTTGAGCTGCCAGCTCTGCAGGTGTATGAAACCTCGCACTCACAGGACTCGTAACACAGGAAGCAAGAGAGGTGGAGGTGACCAGTGACCGATGACCTGCATCTCTTTGCTGTGAAGTCACTCAGCATTCCTTATCTGTGCAAGACACAGAGTCACTTCGAATTACGGGCTCATTAATTAGTGAGTTAAACAGCAATCTTTGCCACAGCTCACTTTGTAGTTGAGTCATGGTTACGAGCAGTTTTAACAATGACTCTGTGACATAACTGTATGTAGAATCACTGAGGATTCAACAGATAGTCAGACTATTGAAGGCTGAGGCATCAGGTTCAGCATTAGCACTGGCGATGTCATTTTCAAAGGGGTAAATAAAACAAATACTACTTTCCCTCACTCTATACAGTTCTTAGAAAAATCTAAAATACATGACAACTATAGAGGAGTATTTGTGTGTGTGCGTGTGTGTACATATATTTAAGTTCTGCTCTTTTTTTTTTTTTTTTGCTATATTGAGGATTGAAACGAGTTTATGTTGTAAACTTAGATAGTTAGCTATATTTAGGAAGGTCCTTAGCTGAATAATTAAAATGACTTTTAATGCAAGTCTGAGTCATGGGCTGTGTGGGGTATGAGGACCTTCACTGGGTAAGACTGTCCTGGGCACAGCAGGTCACCCAGCATTCCACCTAGAGCTGGACTCAAGGTAACAACCTAGAACAGCCCAAACCCCCAAGACCACCGCAGAGGTGTTGTCCCTGGTGAGAACCACCGATGTGAACACCCTCCTGGCTCTTGACGGCCGTCCAGGAAAGTGCCCGGTGATGCTCTGTAAGCCCTGGTTATCTGGATGAGCAGATGAGTGATGGAAGGTGGGGGCACAGCCTGTGAGACACTAGGACTGTGAAGGGAATGAGTCAACTGTAATCCAACACCTTTATGGGCCCAGAAAATTTGTGGGTACTCGTGGGCTCCGAATGCTTTGGAAATTGACTTAGGTAGAGAGCTGCCAGAGTTACAACCACACATCTAACCTGAGCTGGCCTTACACACACCCGTCTCTGTCACTCTCTTTTCAACTTTACAGGCAAAGCCCTGACCACGCCCTGTCTTGTGGCAGCTTCCACACACGTCCTTCTCCAAAGAGCATGCTGATCACGGTCCTCTCTCCCTGTCTCCTGACCCTATAGCAGCTGCGATGGCCTTGTATGAGCTTCCAGGCCTCATACCCTGAGTTCTCGCTGAGAGCGCCAGCCTCCCTGCACTCTGATCCACACCTCTGGCCTCTCGCTGTTCTCCACCTCCTCCCCCACTCAGACCTCTGCTCCAGGAGCCACATCTTAGCCACTTCTGTCTGGATTAGCTTAGCAGATGCCGTCCACACGCATCTGCACACTGCTGTGCTGAGAACCATGGTGGTGTCT